TTTAGGAAATACAATCCCAGGGTTTTACAAAGAATAGTAGTTTTGTTTTAATAATAAGTGCTTCTCTTGCATTACACCATACATATTTCCAGAATATTTTGAAAATGAGTTCTGCTTCCTTTAAAGGTATCTTTATTTTATTTTTAATTTTTTCTATTCTTTGCAGCATACTATACTATACTGTTTACATTTGGTACTGTATATAGAAGAGATAGTTAACAGCTAAATAGTTCAAACAGGGAAGTAAGCTAAAAATCCAGCAAAATCATACTTCTGATCCTAAATACAGCCATTGATGGAATAGGGCTAAGCAGGTTGGATCAGGTGGCTTAAAGTAATATGCAGGCTAACCAGCATTTGGGGACACACCTACTTCGGTTATGTGCACTTATGAGTTGACAGAATGGCAGTTTTGTTCTCAATTCCTTATAGCATTCCCAGTTCTAATCAGCACTGAAAATAAAACCTTTGTTTTAAAAAAACCCTTTATTAAATTTTAAGAAAAGATAAAATATAGAGAAACAGAAAAATAGGAGTTAGAAAAAGCAGTCAGAAAAAGAGCAAAATTGGGACTGCAGAAAAAAGTGTGTGGAGGAAATAAAATAATTTCTAACTTCGTTTGATACAGATACAAATATAAAATACATTAATCTCTTACTCTAGAGTCTAAAATCAATAATGCACAGTATTTCTATAATCATAAACAGTTCTAATCTTCAAATCCTGGAATGAAACTTATTTTACGATGTTGCTGGAATTACAGAATGTGGCTGAAAAACATTATTATAAAACGTCTTTGAACTGAGATAGTGTTATGTATTTTCCTTAAGTTTTTATAAGAACATCTGTGACCTTCCAGTGAAGTTATGAGTTGACATCCAGAAATTACTTTCAAGTTTTTTTATGAAAGAATTATCTAGAAAAATCAATGATTAATCAATGCTTGCTTGTATAGTTTTCTCCAACCTAATTTGCTTCAGATACTACAGTATGTATGTACCTCTCCAAATTTGGCAAGTTGCAGTTCTAAAACTTGGAGCAAGAGTGGAGAGAGAGGATGAGATGTGACTAGACCAGACATGTCAAACTCGCAACGTCATGTGACATTGCGAGACGTATCGGGACTGTTTTGCCATTGCCAGCCATGGGGTGGGCGTAGCTTCTGGATGACACGTCCGGCCGCGGGCCGGCAGTTTGACACCCCTGGACTAGACTTATAGCCAGTTTTAGACATACGTACTTGTACAATGTATGCTCATCAAAGTCATATAAGATTGAAAAGTAGAATTGTTATTTCTCAGCATGAAAATATTAGAAGCTATAAGGTATGCACTCAAAAACAAAAGCGATCAAAGAAGAGCATTTTAGCATTAGATACAGTAATGTAGATCTGCAATAATAGATAACTACATAGCCTGAGATCACACTAAGGAAATTGGTGGCCTCCCATGTGGTTATATGTGGCAACTGGAAATGTGGTTATCTGAAAATACAAATTCTTATTTACAGCTGGGTGTAACAGACACCTTAGAAGTCTTCTTTGTTAATTTGGTTATGAGGATTTATGTGATTTTTGCCTAGATTGTATGTTTTTTCCTCCTACTTTGGATTTGCTATGAAACTAAGAATTCTGAGGACAATGAAAGTTTTACTCATCTACCCTGCCTTTTTCATTTTTCTTTCACTGAGTCACCTGCTGCCAAACATGTGTTTTCTGTAGTATGGACATAGAGATAAATATAGACTTATGTTCATATACTAAGGAGAAATTTCCTGATAGTTAGAACAATTAACCAGTGGAACAACCTGCCTCGAGAAGCTGTGAATGCTCCAACACTGGAAGTTTTTAAGAGGAGACTGGACAGCCATTTGTCAGAAATGGTATAGGGTTTCCTGCCTGAGCAGGAGACTAGAAGACCTCCAGGGTCCCTTCCAGCTCTATTCTATTCTATTCTATTCTTCTGTTCTATTCTATTCTATTCCATTCCATTCCTATTCCTATTCCTATTCCTATTCTATTCTAGTTATAGCTATTGACTATCTTAGTGGGTAAATTGTGCTTACTGACTCAAAGTTTTACTAATGCACATACTAATGCAGATAGTCTAGGGAAGTGTAAAGAACATTATAATTGCATTGTTACAACAGATTCATATTTTCCAAAGTTTCATTGTATTGTTTTCATTGTTCATTGTTCAATTGTTCATCTTGGTGTTTGGATTTTCAGGAGAGATTTGTACATAAAGATTATATTTAGGAGTAAGATTAACTAAGATTACAAGGACATATGATGGTAACAAGTTTAGAGCCCCTGCACTAATGCAGTGTCGTTTTCTTTTATGGCATCTCCATTATGGTGTAATGTTGAGTTATGGAAACTTAACAGGTTTAATTATAACTTTATTTTCACATAGACAACGTAGAGGTAGTTTGTTCAGTGACTGTTCAAAGTTATGACAGCACTGAAAAAATGGACTTAAAACCTAGCACTTGCGAGCCCTGCAGCATCCCCATGATCACACGATCTACATTTGGGCTCTAAGCAACCAGCCAGCATTTATAACCGTTGCTGCATCCTGCTTCAGGTATCTCCTCACTCTCTCTGCCCTTTTGGCTGCTCTGCACTGTATGGCCAAAATGAAGAGTTCCCTGTGTTCTGCCACCATAGCCTCCTTGCAGTAGCCGGGGGGGGGCAGTGGTGGAGGCAAGCCCAGTGCCCAGAGACCCCACAAGCTGGGGCTTGAAGCAAGCTGGTAACAGCCAGCCGAATGGAGGTGAGGTGAAAACAATGAAAGTTAACTGGGGTGTGGAGAACAGCGGGAAGGCAGAGGTGGAATACAGTGTAGGAAGAATTGAAATGTAGACAGTTCACGCAGGGCAGAAGAAGCATGGGATTCTGCCCTAATGATTACAACTGGGATGGCTGGGACTGTTCACATGATATTTCCCTTAACAACTGCTTTACTTGGAAATTCCAACCCCAGTTAGAACCATACTTTGAGGACTATCTGCAAGTTAAGGATAGCTCTGCAGTGATACTGTGCTTTGAGTACTTTCAAAGGTTCCTATACAAATCTTAATTTCATTTTATTTTTGTTAAAGGTGATCCAAAAGGGGAACGGTGTGGAAAAACCTGTGCCGAAGAAAGAGACAATCAGTGGTTGGGGGTGAGCCTAGCAAGGCAGCCAGGAGAAAATGGATCTGTTGTTGTAAGTATTATCTGACATTTCCCTTTGTAAGTTAAGTATTTGGGAAAGGTCTCTAGTTTGATAACAAATTAAACAGGGCGGTAGCTCTACAGGCAAAAATATTTCTGAAATATTTCTCTTTGAGATCCTATAGTAGGATTTGGTTGATGGATTATTGGCCTAACTTTGTGGCTCTGAAAGTAGTTTTATATTTTGTCAAGCTATTTTTTAAATCATCACACTTGTTTTCCTGTCTCATTTTTATCTAGGTCTGTGGACATAGATGGAAAAATATATACTATATTTCAGAGCACAAACTTCCACATGGCATTTGTTACGAGATACCTCCCAATTTTCGAACATTGTTAAGTCAAAGACTATGTCCTTGCTATAAGGGTAAGTAAAAAGTCTTGCTAATGAATAATAGAAAATAGAATTGTAAACATTTTGGAGGAGAGCCGACCGGGAAGACTTAATGTTCAGCCTCATATATTTTGAGGCAGCTTTGAATGCAATGTATGCTTATGTTTAACAAAATGGTTTGGAAATCCTACAAAGGCATTTTATAGTATATCTCTCTGTATGGCTGCAAATGTGCATTAAAATTATGTATATAAAAGGAAATATTTGACTGGGTTTGAAAGACAGTTAGCATGATTGGTGTCTTTTTCAGTGTTTCCTGCCTGGTGTATCCACAGGAAGACATGGATAGGAATGAAGCAAAAAAGGTCTTAGTGTTCCTTGAACTTAGACTGAACTCAGCCCTAGAGTATCATCCCAATACAGCTGGGTTCCATCCATGAACAAAAGCCCATTTAAAAATAATAATAATAAAATGTCATCAGCTCTCTTAGTTTTTCCAGGATTCCTCAAAATATTGACTATTATAACTTTAAAAAATTATTTTGGTTTCCTCTTTGCTAGATTATCTGACAAGCTTTTCAATCCTGATTTAGACTAAAAGTGGAAGTTAGTTGGACCAAGGTAAACTTGTCTTTGTTTGAGGCAGAGTCAAGACCTGGAAAAATAAATAGAGTTTTAGAGAGAGAAAAATCCACTTGAACAGAGACAGTTTTCTATCATGAGATCTTTACATCTTGATCAGAGGTTCCAGAATTTTTTTAAACTTCACCTACCTGGAACATTCGAATATTCTTTCCACCAGACCGTGTCCGAAATTGTAAAGGGAGTGGAAGAAAACAACAATTCAAACAATTCTTGTCAGTAAAGCCTAAAACGGAAAATAAACAAATAAAAACCCATATAGCATACAGTACATATACCGTGTTTTCCTGAAAATAAGACCAGGTCTTATATTAATTTTTGCTCCAAAAGATGCATTAGGGCTTTTTTTCTGGTTAGGTCTTATTTTCGGAGAAATACGGTACTAAATGCGTCTGTCTGGCTGACAATCTTAACTGGGGCTTATTTTGGGGGGGTGTCTTATATTACGAGTGTCCTGAAAAATGATGTTAGGTTTTCCAGTTGGGTCTTATTTTCGGGGAAACACAGTATATTAGGAAAATATTTTCCACAACGAGTCTCTTCATTATTTAAATTATTTAAACTGGAGTTCTGGAAATGAGACTGGATAGTGATGGTTTCTTTTGAAAAATTTGCTTTTCAAAAACCTTTATTCTTTTGGCATTAGTAAGCACAATATTATCTTGCTGTCAGGTAGCAGTAGTTTAGCTAATTCCAATTTGCTTGTCAAAACAACTGTAGAAAACATGTATTTTTCGTGAAGAATTATTTCCTTTAGTTCATCAGTCTTAATATGTTCTTTTTCTGAATCACATGGTGAATATCCAGATTTTTTGAGAAGATATGGAGACAAATATGGGTCTTGTCAAGCTGGGATATCAACATTTTACACTGAGGTGTGTAAGTTAAGATTATTACTTCACTGTTGAAGCTATTTATTTTACTCATGAAATAACATATGTTTAATTTGGTAATATACAGGTAGTCCTCGACTTACAACACTTTATTTAATGACTGTTCGAAGTCACAACGGCATTGAAAAAAGTAACTGATGACTATTTTTCACACTTACGACCATTGTAGCATCCCCATGATCACGTGATTTACATTGGGATGCTTGACAACTGACTCACATTTATGACGTTTTTCAGTGTCCCAGAGTCATGTGATCCACTTTAGCGACCTTCTGATAAGCAAAGTCAATGGGGAAAACCAGGTTTAGTTAACAACCGTGTTACTAGTTTAAGAACTGCAGTGATTCCCTTAACAACTGTGGCGAGAAAAGTCGTAAAATGAGGCAAAACTCACTGAACAAACGTCTCACTTAGCAACATAAATTTTGGGCTCAATTGTGATCGTAAGTTGAGGACTACCTGTATTGGAAAACGTGCAGTTAGTGCAGGCTAATTCAAAGGGCTGAAACAAGACCTGGGAAGCTGCTGCTGCTTCATCCACCTGCAGACTGGAGCTTCTCCTTGATGCTCTTCAGGACTGTCCTTTCTCTTTCTCTCTTTTTTCCCCAACCATCACCTCTTTCCTTGGCAAGGGGTGAGTGAAATGAGCTATAGAAAAGACGTTGTCTCACTAGACAACTTGTTGCCTCTTCTTCATGAGAGGCAGATGTTGCCACAGTGACACCTTGTAATTCCAAGCAAAGATGGAATATTGTTGTTTGGTTTCAATCAAAACCAGTCGGTGACCTTGGACAGCTGTTGCAAAGATAGTCAGGCTGTCACAAGGTTTTTAAATAAATATAATGCCCTGTATATGGCCTAACATTTCCATTTTGAAATTAACAGAACATAAATTATAATGTGAGCTGGGATTATTCATGCAAAGCAATTATAAAACTCAACACATTCTCTCTCAGGTTGAGAAAATAGCGGACTTCGCTATGAGTTTTTACGCTCTATGTGAGAAAGATACATTGTGTAGTATATTACTCACAAAATGCCTTTTTTCATTTGGCCTGCTTGGATGTATTTAGCAATGGAATAGCTACTGTAGCTTCCAAACCATGTTTTAAGTAAGACTTAAGCTTTTTGTTTTCTTCTAGGATTTAATTATCATGGGAGCCCCAGGATCAGATTATTGGGCTGGTTCCATCTTTGTATACAATAAAACAGCAAACATATTTATTTCATATCTGGATGTGAGTCATCAAATAAAGTATGGAAGTTATTTAGGTAAAAAAAATATTTAATATTTGGTTATAAACCTTCAGCTTAACGTACCTCCTGACAATATGCTTCCCAGACAAAAAAATGGCAGGAAGGTGGTGATGCTCAAGGCAGCAGTGCGCTTCCTGCCATGAGTTCCTTAGTGCTGGCTAAGTATTTTGCCCTGCCTGGTTTAATTTTAAAATTCAATATACAAAATGAGTGAGAAACTAGCATGCTGTGGAGCTAAGCAGAAGCCTCAAGCATGATCAGCATTACCTTTGAGCCCTACCTGGATTTCACTGGTATTCTTAGAAAGGAAAATGTTAAGGTATTTTGTTGGCTTCCCTGTGTACGGGATTTTGTGGGGTTATGCAAAATATTTTGAGTTTGAGACATTTCTTGTGCTCTGCTTTTCATTTATGTAATGAGGGCTGCAAATCAGATTCCACCATAACATATTAATACTGAAATTTCTTCTTTTGTCCCAAGAATGTGTACTGTACATTAGTTTATTGCATTCTTTATGTAGAAAATCTATCTGTCTAGAAAGCACTGATTCTAACTAAAAGCATTGTTTCATTTTCTTAAGAAAATCATCCGTCTTTTAGATTTTCAACAGGACATATGCAAAGCAGTTTTCAGTGATTGCACTGCATATATATATACACACCCAGGAAGTTGGTTTTATAGACAAACTTACCAATTTTAACGTTGGTGTACACAAACACTTCAGCATTTTTTCCCCTTGTTCAGAGTAATTCTGCTCAGCAGAGTATGTTGAATGTGCCAATTCAGCATATGGTGGCATGTATTCCCACCCACACTGTGAGATAAACAACAGAATCACCTGATTGCACTCCGGGTGGTGTAAATGGGGATTACTGCATAGAAGCATATGTCCACATTCTATGGAAGTATCCTAATAGTAGTACCTAAATAGATTGCTAAAGGGATTGGATATCCAACTTTTGGGCATTTGAGCACAGATACCGAATTAATCTGCTTATTCATTTGCAAGCGTACTCATTCCCAATTATGGGAGTCAGTGCTCAAATAAAGAATTCATTTAATGCTAAACTTTCAGATTATTTGCAGTGAGACAGAGTGCTGCATTGGAAAACTCACTGCTTCCATTCACTGTTCTTTTATGGATAGGTTATTCTGTTGGAGCAGGTCACTTCCTTTCTGCAAGTAGCTCAGAAGTAATTGGAGGTGCTCCCCAGCAGGACCAGACTGGTAAAGTAAGAGGTTTTTCTTTAATGTGGTAGATTATAAAAAGTATTTCTGTGTAGAAATAAATTCATAGCTTGCAATGACAGAGAAGAACTATCTGCCAGAGATTCTTTGGTGATAACTAAATAACCTGGGGCTATTTTTTCCCCCCACAAATGTTTTCCCAGAACATATTTTTTTCATGTATACATATACTGCTTGTTTCTGTGGCTGCAACTGCCAATATGTATTTGTGCAAGAGATAGTCAATGGTCCCCAGACTTTCGTCCACCAAGTATTAATAGACGGTTCATGAAGTAATGCATTTTTATTGCTAGAGGACGTCAGAGAGTGAAATGCCTAATTTAGATCATTGCCAAGAAAGGTTACTAAGTTGATCAGCGTTGTACTTGAGTGACCCAAGATATTTTGCTGATTGAAGCAAAGAAGGAATGATTTCCAACTACTGATCTGTGTACAGAAGCTGGCTGGATCAGTGGTTGAACCCTACATTATAACTGATGGAGTAACTTCCTCTATTTCAGCTAAGACAGCAAGCAAGTTAACCAAATGGTGCAACATAAGCAGCTTGACACAGGGCAGGCAGTTCATGAAAACTGCTACGGCTTGTTACAAACCCCATTGCCTCAGCATTTGCCCCATTCAGGCCATTTCTCATTTTTCACCTTGTAGAAACACTATATATTGTTAGCTTCTTCTACTGATAAAGAAACTTCTTGTTTTTTATTTGTTTGTTTGTTTGTTTGTTTAGGGCTTCTGATGCAGCTGACCTCTGTTGTTTATTTCAGGTTTACATTTTTAAAATTGAACCCAAACAACTATCAATTTTAAGCGAATTAAGGGGTAAAAAGGTAACAATACTTCTACATTTATAAAGTTTGCTAAATGTCACAATATATTCATACACCTTGGTTGATTTCATGGTTAACCACTGTCTCTTTTTTGTGGATAGTTTGGTTCTTACTTCGGAGCTACTGTTTGTGCGGCGGATCTTAATGGGGATGGCCTTTCAGATTTACTAGTTGGAGCACCCATGGAGAGTAAAGTCAGAGAAGAAGGAAGGGTTTATGTTTACCTCAACACAGGTTCTGTAAGTATTCATTCTTGTTGAAGAGTGCTATCCATTATAAATGGATAATGATCCAGTGTTAGGAACATCTTTTTCATAATGCTTATTATTATTATTTTGATAGCTTCCTTTGCAAATAGAAACGATTAATGTATTTTAACATGGAAATGCAGCACATTTCTAGATAAAGCATCTATTGTGAAACTGTCAGAATACGGTAATGAAATTTTACAATGGTCCATATATTTCAACTCTTCTTCCATACTATGTTTTTCTTTTTGCCACACATCTATAAAGAAAAATCATGTTTTGACTGGTAGTGTTAGAAGAATCCTTTACATCTGGAGGTACCTAAGCTTTGTCTGACTAATTTCTGTCTTGTGTCTGGTTAGCTTAGAGTGATGCAAAACATTTCCTGGATGTCCCCCCTCTCTTTTTTTTCCCAAAAAAATTGGAGGATAGTATCAAAAAGCTAGGAAGTACAGCTACTTCTTTATGTTTTTATAATGCTGTTGAAAGAATATTCATGGAAGTGAAACTGCCTGGGCATGTAACTTTTTTATGAAAATGGTTTGCTACAATGGATGGCTTCTTTTCCTTCAAATGTTTGAACATTTGAAAATGATTGGCAGGAACTCTACTTTTTAATTTCTGGGTATGGATTTTGATTTCTCAAAATTATATAAACATAAGACACTTTTAATGAAAAGGCCTTTTCATCTTATACTTGTAATTTACTAAAGTACCCCTTCATCCAGAAGTCAGGTCACATAACAGGGACTAAATGTCTCTAATTTAGGTTTCTCCTTTGTTCAGTCAGTTTACTTGTGTGCTTATTTGGGATGAGATATGACTTCCTTAATCAATTTTCAGCCTTAGTAATTGCCATATAGAAAGTGTGACTGAATGACTCCAATACATAGAACATTTTAATTTGTAACATTCCTGAAGATTTGCGAGAGGTGCATGCGGTTTGCAGGATACAGATTATACACCTAAAAGTAAAACAGAGCTCATCATGATTATAATGTACTACCTGGAAACTCAGGGTTAATCAGACTTATTTTTATAGGCAGCAAAGATGATGGAGCTGCAGACAGCACTAGCTGGAAGTGATTTGTATGCAGCAAGGTTTGGCGATTCTATTGCCAGTTTAGGAGACATTGATAATGATGGCTTTGAAGGTATTATTAAGTTTCTTTCAAAATGTGTAGTAGTGTAAAGGGAAGGGTAGGACACATTGCTCAGTATTGCCTGTAAATGCAGCTATTCTGAACCATGCCTAGAGATAATATGTAATTATTTTAACTGTAGAATTTTGATTCCACATTTATGTGTAGAACTAATCAAAACTGATGAGTTCTCATCTAGCATCTCCTTTAATTGGCAGTAGCTTTTTTTTCTCAAGAAAAAGATTTTCCAAATTCTTAAGATCATTTTCTATGTAACTTTCAGGATGATGAATTCTGATTTAAAAAAAATGATGTTGGCAGAAGGACCTGGGTATAGGTTTCCATTCAACTTCCTTTCCCCCTTCATCCATTTATGTCCCCTAAATCCATTGTAGAATTTGAATACTTTTAAGAGACTATTCAGGAAGCGTGGGATCTATTCAGGAAATGGAAGTCTATTTTGCCAAAGGAATTGGATTTCACCTCCTTTGCTTGGGATAATTTGGGATAAACTGAAACAAATTATGTAAGAATGTACAGCAGTTGAAGTTTCTCTGCTTTACTGCTTCCCTATATTATAGACTATTATACTGATCTATGAGAGCAGTTTAATTTCTATATAGAGATAGAGCAAATGATAAGTTTCAACTATATCATTAAGTTCTCCAGTAGTTAATTACAAGAGAAATAATTCTAGCTTATTGGAATATCCATAGCTCTGAGGTTTTATCCCCTAATACATATCTGCCTTTCTCTTCTTCTAATCAACAAAGATAATTCCTCATGTATCTTGTGATTTTCTATAAAAAATAAATTGGAGGGACCTATACTAGTCATAATTATTTTTCTATTTTAAAAAAGAATTGTACAATGTAATTAATGCATGGTTAATTTCATTTTCCTTTGGTTTTTAACAGATATAGCCATTGGGGCTCCACAAGAAAATGATTTAGAAGGCTCAGTTTACATATACAATGGCAGAGAAGATGGAATATCACCAACATTTTCACAAGTAGGTCTCTTTATATTGTCCTCATGACTACTATTTTTAATATCTAGCTGTAACAGAGAACCCGGCTTAGCTTTTTTGCTTGTTTGTTTGTTTAAGCAGGCTCAATTGTCAAGGACCCCAGTTCAGTTCTCCAATATTTCCAGATAGGTTTGGAAAATCTCCAGCGTGGAATCCTGGAAGACAATTGTCAATTTGGACTAGATACGCTAGTATAAATCAGTTTCTTATATTCACATTTTTATATTAAGTAGGACATAGAAGTGGAAAGCATGCAGCGTAGGAATGCATTGACACAATTGTTCCCCAGTAATACTGTGTTACAGATACATATATGGAGTAGGTTGGGGCAGAGGAAGAGGAAGGATGGAATACGTAACAAAGATCAGAATTGTCCCATTTATTTGGTAGTGTCACGTGTTGACTCTTAGTCGAAACCCTTATGCATGCTAACTGTATTTTGCCATTTGCTTAACAGCCCTTTCCTCTTATCAGTCATTAATGGAAAAAAGACCACTATGTATTAACCCTTTTCTATTAGTATTAAGTTGCAAATCTAAGTGAGTCATAATATCAGACTTAACGGTTCACAAATGGGTCCCCCTAATTATAGAAACAAGTTGCTTATGTTAACAATATGTTAAGGAAGCAGCACAGAAGCATATGCTAGGTTCTAAGCCCACCTGTAGATGCTGAAAATGTTTTACATAATCCATCCCTGTCCAAAGTTGTTACCAAATTGTAATTTTTAATGTGACAGAAAAAACACAAGGTAATTGATGTTACCTGTAATTAATGTAATTTTAAGTAATTATATCATAAATGCATTCCTTTAAATGTAGATGGAAGGAAACCAATGCAATTTTTTTCTGTGTCCCACCCATTACTTTTAAGTGTTTGCCCCATTTTGTCCTGGCCTAATAGAAGATCTGAGGATGCTCTCAGCACAGCTTAATGCTTACCTAATCCTAAGAAGATATTTGGGATATTTAAAAAAAATCATCATTTATACTTAGCACAGATTAAAAACCTTCCAAACTGAAGGAAGGATGATTTTATTTTCTGTTATTTCTCTACTGCATTTACTCTGCTTTTTTATTTTTAAAAAAATCCGTGTCCCTAAACATTTCTGTTTTAATAATAATTTTTAGAGAATTCAAGGACATCAAATCAGCAACAGTTTACGCATGTTTGGTCAATCCATATCTGGGAAAATTGATGTAGACAGCAATGGGTATTCAGGTGAGTTAACTTTGTTTGCTTTAAATCACTTGGGCAATGTTGTTGTTTTCTTAATTTCTTGCCCACCTGTCTGGGACATAAACCTAAATGAATAAATCAAAATCATTATGAACCAAATAATAAAATACAATAGAACTGGCATGGAACACACATGTTGTAACAAGCAGTTTAAAGACAGCCTGTTTATATGTAAGTGAATTAATATGCGCATGGTCCCATAGGCATCTGTCTTATTGAATTAAACAAACTTTTCCAATGCTTTAAAATTGAAGCATTGCTATGCTAATTTTTTTTCAGACTAGTGTACTGGAATTTGACAACTTAGAGAAAAGAAAATGGAAAAACAGAACCAGACATGTAATTTTATTAGAATTTTTTAGTAAGATCAAAACACTTACAAATGTAAGTGCAATATATCTGCATGTAACATTAGTATTTTGCTCCATCCTGTATTAGTAAATCAAATTTAAGTATTATTCTACTTTCATTGTAATCTTTAGTTTCTTCTGGTTCCTCTAAAGTCTAGCCTTCAAAAGTCCCATCCTATTGTTTTAAGAATTCATAATAACAGCAATTTCTCATGGGAAGGACTCTTATAATTAAGTATGCAAATTCTATGTCTTTTGAAAAGGCACTAACCATGATTTGAGCAAAGATGATGACTCCCTTGTCTCCCAAAACTCTAAACTCACCAGAGATCACTGTCTTGTTATTGTAAGGAGAAGCTGTCTGGAACACTCATGGGCGAACTCAAGTTCTCGCCTTGTCTGGAGTGAGCTGGTCTATTTGCCAATTAATCATTCAACTCCACTTTTAGTGGGGCAGTCTCTAGTTCACCATTTCTTCCGCAGAAGTCCTGGGTGAGATAATTCTTAAGGAATTTAGGAGATAAGCCACATAAGACTTTTTAGTCTATAACCAGCATTTTGAATTGGAATCAGAAGCAAATTAGTAGTTTAGTAGCCAGGCCACCACATTTTAGAAGAGTAATAGTTTCCAGATTATCTTTAAAGGCAGTCCCATGTACAGTGCATTGCAGTCTTTAAATTTGGGGTGCTAAGGGAATGAGTCACAATTGTCAAAACCTCCTGATCAAAAAGGCGGAAAGGCCTGGTTGTTCAATTAATGCACCAATTGAAGTTGGGCAAAGTCTCCCAACTCTAATTCTCCACTAGCTTCTCTAGCAGACAACTCCAGGAAGAGTCCTAAACAATGAAGCACTCTTATGCACTCCTTTAGGAGACTTGCACCTCTGTCTACAGTGAACACTGAAGTTGGGATAGAGCTAGCTTGATCATGATTCCATCTTGCAAGGATTTAATCTGAACTTACTTTGACCATACAAGGTCACAGCTGACTACACAGCTTCAAGACATTGGACAAGTATCCTCATACAGCCTGGACTAGCAGTGTACAGCATCCTTCATCCCAGACTGGCTGCTGACTTCATCAGTGGCATCATACAAACGTTAAATTGTATGAGGGAGAGAACCAAGTCCTGTTGCACTCCACAGCAGAGTTTGCCTGTTTGTCTCCTAGGCTGGAAAGGAGGAAAACCAATGTAACAGGATGCCTCCAATCCACAACCTTCACTGGTGCGGTCCAGTGGGTCTAGTGGTCCAAAAGAAGGCCATGATAATGAATAGTGTGGTCATATTGTGAAAAACATGTTGGGTATTGAGAAACAAGACTTGTTTGTTCTATTGCTCCTTCTTTAGATCACAGGCAGCTTGAGAACATTGTTTCATTTTGTTCATGACTTACTGCAGTATAAATTCTACACTCTAGAAGCGTCTACCTATGAGCATCACCATAGAGAAGCCGAAAACAAATCATAAGAATGCTCTCTGAACTGTTCTCATCAAATGTTCCTGGCATTTTGTGATGAGAACAGGAACATGCAGGCATATTCGCTGATGTTTTAACAACCTGATTTGTCACATTGAGGGAATCGCCTCTGTGTTCAGGATTTCACTTGAGAAGTTGTAAAGAGAAGATTCAAAAGAAGAGTGAAATGAAATTAAAGAAACCACTATTATAATACTCCCTTTAAGTCAGTGGTTCTCAACCTGTGGGTCGGGATCCCATTTGGGGTCAATCGACCATTTCACGGGGGTCGCCAAGGAAGGCTGTCCGCCATTTTTTTTGTCGGGCATTTTTTTGTCCGCCATTTTTTTCCCCTTTTCCGGCGGGTGCCTTACCTCCCTTGGGCTGGGCCAGCTGGTGGTCGGCCTGCTCTGTCTCTGCCGCTTGCCAGCTACGCCTCGGCCGGCGCAGGGGGCGGAACCACGCATGTGCGGCGCTCCCGGGCAGGGAAAGTCCTCGACTTACGACCGGTTTAGTCCTCGACTTACGACCGGTTTAGTCCTCGACTTACGACCAGTTGGGGTCGCGGCATTAAAAAGGTTGAGAACCACTGCTTTAAGTACTGTCTAAATTTGACTCTTAGGAAGTATGAAGTGAAGATGTACCAGCACAGATGCTAATGATGTTGACAAAATTCTTCTTGTCCTGTATAGTGTTAGAGGTGGTTGTAATCCAATCACATTTGCAGACAGAATAAGCCTTTCCGACGATTCTGGTAAATACTTCCTAGGAAAGCAAAGAGAAATAAGAAAGTGGACAAGACGCTTGGCACATTTACACAGCAACTAAAATTTATATCATTGTCTTCCAATGCTTCCTCTCAAATATTGTGGAAGGTCCCTTTTTGATGAGAATATTTTGTTAGAATTCCTTCATTAACTGAATGTTTCCTGGAGTGATGCATCAGACCCCTTCAGGCCACCAACAGAAGGACAGAGGGACCGTATGTTCTATGGTGCCAGAGGAAATTAGGAAGCATGCACTAACTTTATCCGCACATCCCTAGAGGGAAAATTCTTTTTCTTTGCCCATTGAAACTAGGATATGCTTCAAGGTCTCTTGATTTTTCCATATGTTCTTGACTGCATATGAAATTTGAAGCAGCAGCATGTGTAAGAGAGGGAGTCGAACTAATAAAAGCAGTGCTGTGGCATCATGATGCAATTCCTGCTCTTTTTCTGCATTGGGTGTTGAATAATGCAGAGGCCCCAAAGAAGTGGAGTTTGTGCCATGATGCCACAGTACTGCTTTTCTCATTCTGACAAATTCAGTAAGATCCCACAGGTGCCACTGATCCAAAGTACCCGAAGGATCTTCTTCAAAATGTGAAGGTCAGGGGTGGTTATGTCCAAGTGATCCCTTTCCCCTGCAGAAGCAGGGAGAATTGTAAATTACTATTTTTAAATTTTAAGCAGGAGTTTAAATTTTTGCTATAAATAATTGCTCTTCCATTTAGAGCAGGGGTCCCCAACCCCCTGTCCGTGGAGCGGCACCAGGCAATAGCATGCCAGAAACCGGGCTGCGCAAACAAGCGAAGCCCCATCTGTGGGATGCAGGCAGCACGCAAAACCACGTCCCCTCCGGTCCATGGAAAAACCTGTCTCCACGGAATTGGTCCCTGATGCCCAAAAGGTTGGGGACCACTGATTTAGAAATGAACTTTCTTCAGTTCACTAATTAAAACAATGAAGCCATATTTTGATAAATCTATTTAATCATAAAAAATGTATCAATGTAGTCCTATAATTAATAATGTCAAACAGCAATTTGATTCAGTCCAGAGATGATGACGAGCCAAAGAGAACATTTATAATGATTCAGTCCTCAAACTGTATCCCTGTTTTATTTTTATTTTTTTTTACAGATGTAGCAGTTGGTGCTTTTTTGTCAGATTCTGCTGTATTACTGAGGTAGGTCAAACATATTTTAGAGTTCAGAGGCAACTGAATTAAAATTTGCAATATATATCTGATTTCATCATACTTTCGATTAAACTGTGATCTTAATCTTTAAACTCTAATATTAATACATCACTTACTTATTTAATATATTGGGGCATTAAGATTTATTTTCCAAGCAATGGGCACCTCAGAATTTATTTATTTCACAGTCATGTCTTGCATCCTAAGATATTGTCATTAGNGTCATTAGGTATTCATTACCAGTCAGCAGATGGTTTGAAGGCCAAAGGAAATGAAGCATTTCTTCAGTAAAGTATGGGTAATCTGCTCCAGATAGAGATTTTGACTTTCAGAAGTGACTCAATGCTTCCAACCCCACCTATGCCTTTCTATTAAAGCTCAATCTCTGTTTGTCCTTGGCTCAGGACAATTCTGATCTTGTCTGCTTTTAAACAATAAAAAGTTAGACATGCACGCTACAAAATTAATATGTCATTTGATCCATTAGAATCTAAATCAATGTGTTTGTCTTTAAAAACGGAACGCCCAGAATTATAAATGTTAATAGAGCATCTTGTGATCATGAATTCCTCCTTTTTAGGACAAGGGCAGTAATTATCGTGGAAGCATCCTTAAAGCACCCCGACTCTGTAAACCGCACCATATTGGACTGTGTGAGAAATGGACAACCAGCTGTGTGTGTTAATCTAATGCTTTGTTTTAACTATACTAGCCAAACCATCTCAGGTTACATAGGTAAGCTTCTTTCTTTGTGCTTAGCACTTTCATAACTGAATATTCAAAAACAAACGCTGGTGGTTAAGATGAATTTATTACTAGCTGATACATAAATCCAGTGCTTTTTTTGTAAAAAAAAAAAAAAAAAAAAAAAAGGTGCCGGAATTCACACACGTCATACAACCCGCCTTGCCTACCCTACAAGGTTCCATCCAAAAAAGGTGCCGGAACCCCGTTCTGGGCGTTCTATGAGGAAAAAAAGCCCTGCATAAATCAAATCTAGTGGTTATCCATTAGTATTTTACCAGTGGTTTAAAACACATATGAGTGTTCTATGACCAGGAAATTCTGAATTCTGGTCTTGCCTCAGGCATGGTAAAGGGTGACTTTGGCCAGTTCCTTTTTCCTCAGAAAAAGGAAACAGCAAGCTATTTCCAAAAATATTGCCAAGAAAACTGCATAGACCTCTCCAGGTATCCCTCAAAGGCATGAGCTTGTGCAAGCACCCGCTCATGCACACACACACACACACACACACACACACACAATGTAAATAATTTGAAAGTAATTTATCCTGGCATGATTAGCCCACAGTATTCCTCCTTAGGGGTTATGATAATAAAATGAGGCATCGCAGGCTATGTTCCACCAAAACATATGCATACGCATGTGTGCTATAATTCACTTTTCAGAACAGTGTAAAGAAATGTTAAGTACATAGTCTTTTATGCATATTGTTGTATCTTGGTAAATCACAAACTTAGAGCACACTCTGGAGAAAAGCTACATGTTCTTTAAGCAGTGTTAAGTTTGTATGAAGGCAGAGAATTATGTCGCGTTAAAGAAAGACATTGACGTGTCCTCTTATTTACATGCACACACAAAAGCACAAACCAGATTCTGAATACACACTAAGATTTAGTAATAAAAAGCGATGTTCCAAAGATTGGATAGAAAATCCTGGAAACGTAAAACCACTTACAGCTTAAATGCACGGTGTATTTTAACATAAGTAGCTCACCCATCAGTTTAATGAATACGGAAATGTTTCTAACTTTTTTTTTCTTATTTTATTCCTTTTTTTTTAATCTTTACAGTATTGCTTTATAATCTAAGCCTGGATATTAATAGAAGGCCAGATACTGCAGCAAGATTTTATTTTTCCTCTAATGGAACCTCTGAGGCCACCTCTGGAAGTGTCCGGATCTATAGCAACAACAATTTTACATGCAGAACCCATCAGGCATTCATGAGGGTAACATTGTCTTCATAGACTTGTTGGGATGGAAGTGTCCACTTGGAAAGGTCATCCAAAAAGCTCTAGTCCAGGGGTCTGCAACCTTGACAACTTTAAGACTTGTGGACTTCAGCTGAAGTCCACAAGTCTTAAAGTTGTCAAGGTTGCAGACCCCTGCTCTAGCCTCCTTCTGTTAGGGACCTGCAGCAAGCTCTGACCATGGTCATCTACCAAGATTTATTCAAGCCATACATAAAAATAGACACTTTTGGTTCTTACATTACAACTCATGTTTCCCATCTATTACAAATCAGCTCTTTCTCTCTCCTCCTGTAGCTTTTGAACTTGTCGGAAGACACTCAGGTTAAGTGAATTTGGTGTCAAGCATCAAACCTGTTTTTCAAATCATGCTTTTTCAATACCTGAGAAAATAATAGCTAATTGGTGTAGTGAAAATAATATAGAGCAGATGCAGGGAAACCTTGCGGAAAATTAGAATGAATTGCAAAACCTATGAACTGATCAAAACAAACTTGTTATTGAAAATTAGGGCAGGGAACCTGTGGAAGAACAGTCAGTGGCAGCCTACCTCCCAATCCAGGGGAATAATTTAATCAACTTTAATATAAACTGTGATACTTTGCGTAGATTTATTTTCACAAGCAGTTAAACACAATCTACAGTAAAACCTTCCATACTTAGGTAAACATAAAGAAATTGTACTCATTCCAGCATACAAGTGTAGTAATTCCTGTAGCATACAAGATTCCGTATCTTGAATTTAGACATAAATTTACTGTTTAGTTAAGAATGACTTCCATTATGCTCAATGGGACTTGCATCCTAGTAAAGTCAGGACTGCACCATTAATCAAAGTGAGGAATGGAGTATCGGCTTCACTGCTGTATCAAGATTTATGCTCATTCTTTTACTGTCCTTCCTTAGTACTTCAACATAGGCAGCACTTCAATTTGCATTACAGTACAATAAGGGACTGAAAACATTTAAATACAACTCAGTCTGAGCTTTATAAATTGATCAGATAATCAGCATAGGGGAAAGGGTATCTTTCTTGAGCAATAAAATCTCACCTGCTCTGTGTTATGAAAAATCTTAACAGAGAAATAAAAATTATGCTAAAAACATTCTTAAATATGCAATGTTAAAGCTATTTGGCCTTCGTTGCCTGGGGTTTCCTTTTGAATGGATTTCCTTAGAAGCACTCTAAGAGAGAATTCAGATTTGGAGTGTATGCTGCCATGCAAAAGTAGACATGTGTTATTTCAGGATAAATGCCGAAAAGTAGAAATTGCTTATATTGTTGATTGGTGAATATTGTTCTCAGTCTTATGCAATTCATTTATTTGATCTCATATGCTTAGAAAGATGTAAGGGATATTCAAACTCCTATACGGGTTGAGGCTACCTATCACCTGGGACACCACGTTTTGAAGAAGAGAAATGCGGACGAACTCCATTCACTTCAGCCAGTACTTCAGCAACGGAAGGAAGATAATATTGTGCGTAGCAAGGTATGTCTTCCTGGCTTGTATGACAGTAGAAGTCTAACAAGCTGGTGGACACCAGTTGCAATGGGCTACTTTTCTGTTTCAGACCCTCATCTGAAGGATTTTTTTACTTATATCGGCTTTATGGTGGCTAAGAATAACGGCCTGACTTTCACGTAGTATTAGCTATACTAAATTATGGATTTTATAACATTGCTTATAAAACTATAGAAAGAGCATTTTCTCATGCAGAAGAGAAAGAGAACACATGTTGGTGCTAAATTCTGTAACTATTAAAACCATATGGAACTTGGGTCATGATCTGCTGTTGTGATTCATCCAATTCTTTTAATGTAACTGGGACATGATGAAGCCCTACCCTTGTGTTTACTTTGGATGACTCTATAAATGTCAAACTGTAAACAAACTCGCTACATATTAAGCCAAATGACTGACTTATTGCCTTAATCTAGAGAAAACATCAGGCAGTAGTTCAGATATAACATTTTAGGACCTCTGCTGCTGGCATAGTTTTCTGGATCAAGGCAAATATTTTTATTTTCTGATACTCACTTTTTCAATATAAAGGATGGAAAAGCAGTTGAACATAACTGCTCTAAATTAATACATACCCTCTAGATCAGGGGTGTCAAACTGCCGGTCTGCGGGCCGGATGCATCATGCCGAAACCACGCCCACTCCATTGCTGGCAATGGAAAAGTCGTGATACATCGTGACATGTCACATGACGTTGCGAGTTTGACACTGCTGTTCTAGATACTGTTGTGATAAAAGGTCAAGGGATTTGTTTCCACACGAACTTTCCTAGTAGCATCCAACACAAATGTCAAAATGTCTTTCTTATCACTTTGCTTTGGAAACTATTTCATTTAATAGCAGTATTCTTTTCATCACCCATAATTTTGGTGGATCTTGTCATACGACAGCATGATATGGTGGTCCCAGAAATTGTTTATAATTATTTTTGTTGTGAAATGACAACAACTGGCTAATTATTTCATTTATTATTGTATTTTTACTCAAGATAGGGGAAATATTTCGGGGTTTGCTGGTGCAAGTGGCCAAATTGCTTGTTTCTGGGGTTTGGCATCTTTACATATTTGTGTGCAGGAAAAGGGTTTTGCGGCTTTTTTATTAGACATTCTTACAAGAATACTCCATGTTTGATGTTGTGGTATGTCTGAAGGTTTATGTGGTGATAAGGGCTACTTTGAACTTTTGGTACAGTGATCATATATCTTTGATTATAAAGGACAGCCTTTTATTTCAGAAAGCTTTCCTTTAGATTTATTTCATTTAATTATTTCTTTTCTTGGTTTTGCTTTTGGATTTACTTCATAAGTTATAAAATATTTTTTTATCTTTATGAACCCCTTTTTCAGGTTTGTCTTTAATTTTTTATTTTTCAAGACAACATTGCCACTGTAATTATTGGTTTTAAAAAGTGCCTAAAATGAGCCTTTGGTAGAGATAGATTGGCATGAATTGAAGTAGAAGGTGCCAAATTCATGTAATTTGAAAGGCAGAGGATGATTGTTTTGTTACTGGTTATTTTGGATTTCATGGTAAAAATATTTTTGAATATATACCTTCAAAATTATTCTAAAAAGTTGTTTCTGTTCTTCTTTCAAAGTTTGTTTTTGCAAGATTTTGTACTCAAGAAAATTGTTCTGCAAACCTTCAAGTTTCTGGAAAACTTACATTTCCAAAGTAAGTCCATTATAATTGAGAGAAAGTGAACAAGCTTTATGAACTTAGCTTTCTACCTAAAAAAGTTCTTTTTAGGAAGAATGGAATCAGATATCAGAAAGTTCTGCAAAACATAAAGAATCATGTCTGAGGTTACACAGTGGAGTCAAAGAGGAGCTGAGTAAACATGTGGAGCCCTGGAACTATATGAGAAACTATGTTTATATGATTATATTCTGGAATTATTCTGTTAGCTTCAAAACATGTTTCACTGGTCTGCTGACATATACTGAACTATTATATACAGTGGTTTGCTTCTTTGACTTAGCATGAAATGCAGACTGTTTCCAATTCAATGTTATTTGTTTAACCAGATCAATCTATCCCATTCAACAAATAATGGTTAAAAAAAAATCTGGCTTGATATTATGTGTGAATGCAACAGATGCATTAATGTCCATATAGCAACCCTGCACTGTAATTTAACAAAAGAGTACATTTTTGAAAGAGTATAGCAACTTCCTAAGATTAGATAATATAAAATATTCCTACAACCATTTGGTGAGGTAGTGCAAGGTCACCTTAGTGTTGTCACCTGATTAGAACAATGAAATTCCACTCATATACACAGAATTCTAATATCTTCCCATGCTATTTTAGGCAGAGAAGGAATGTTATCCCTCCCTTTTTAACTAGAATGCGACTTTGCCTTTACTATTGGAAAACATACATCTTTCTCCCTGGATCCTTTGCATGTCTCCTGTTATAAAATTGTACCTGTTGCCTCATACTGTCTTTTGCTTTCTTCTCTGTAACAGTAATTGGAGATCTAGCATTATGAGAGTTGATTCAGACAGCGGGAACTTCAAGGAGTTTATAAGGGGCTCATAACTGGTTTCCGGTCACAGATAAATGTAGGCATTGATCATTCTCTAATCAAACAAGTTAATTCTGTCATCTGTGCTATTTTTGTCATCTTCATCCACCCATCCTTCACAGTCTTTCCATTTTTGAACATATAATAGTCTCTCGGGCCCATCTTATCTACAGTATTATGATGTGGGTAAATAGATACGTAGGCTGCAGTGATACCATCTGCAAAACTAGTTTTCATTAAAAAGTACGTATTTTCACGATTGTGCATAAATTAAAAGGGAAAGTAATTGTTTTTCACATTTGAGCAGAAGTTCTGCTGAACTGCACAATGCTTTTATGGGTTACAGCGACTAGAATTTTTAAATTTCCCTTCTATAAAGGCAAAAGTTACATGATCTGTTCTTCTATTTTCTGAAGTTTCTGTGAGTTTCTTCTTTTCAGGGCTGAATTAATCTTTTTTTTTCCCCTCCTTAGGAAACTAGCAATCTCTTAGCTTAGAAATATTTCTCTGCCTGACTGCTAATCAGACTTCATTTCTCTTTTTTTGCACTTCTTTTGCATTGTCTTCTTTCAGGGCCACAGCCAACTTGTAAAATTCTGCATGATGTCAAAATAATTCACTTTAATTCTTCCTTAGAAATCGACAAGTCATTCAATTCCTACTGCTCCCCTCTTTATCATTTCTCCAGAGTCGTGTTTTCTATAGAGGTGAACTGTAGCCTGTTTAAGCCCTTCTGAACCATCAAGGAATTCATAAGTGATTTGGTCTGCTTTAGAGGACTTGTGTTTTACCTCAAAATCTCTTGGAGCTTTCAAAATCAGCTCAATTTGGCATTCGTCAAATTTTCCTGGATATCCTAGTTCTTAGGGTTGGGATAAAATAGGCTGAAGATTAATGCTAATATTTTTTTTAAAAAAATATATTAATTCATTAATTCATCTTTTTATTAGTTATATAGTGCCAACCCTACTATAAGAGTGAGGGATCAATCTATTTAAATATATAAGGCAAGGAGGGAGGCTCAATGTTTAGGGCAAAATGGTTAGGAAGGGAAACAGACATCTCCCTGTATTTACTTTTTCTACTTCCATACCTCTTCCTGCTGTGAAGATTTTTTTCAGTAGATGAAAACTACAACAACAACAACAACAAAATCTAATCATGTCATCTTTTGCTGGTAAAGAAAAAGCTCCCAACTTGAATAGTGGCAGACAAAGGTGTAAACAAATAGGATCGGTGTTATCACATCTAGTTTTGCTTTCCACAAAGTGTAAAACACCAAATTATTTTCTCCAGATACTTATTCTTTACCTGTGAACAGCATTTTTTTCCAGCCTGCTAACTTCTAATAATCAGGAGGCTGGTGGTGTCTTTTCTGACTAACAAATGATATTAGGAGGCATAAGTTTTCATGAGCAGTTGCTCATCAGATGCATATGATCAGGTCTTTGCATTTGATGCTGTAGTTTGCGGAAACTTATCCCTTTTAATAAAATTTGCCAGTTCAGAAAGGTGCTATCAGATTTCTTCTGACATTTTGTTACATTAGACTAATATGGCTCTCCTCCAATCATCTTACTGAGAAAGCTAGATAAGGATATTTATGATTTACACATTAATGTACACTTATGCTTTATCTGCCCATCTGCCCTTCCTAAATTACTTTAATCAGATAACTTAATTAGCTTGAGTTGACACACAATATATTTCGTATAAATTGTGTGCACTGGATTAAAGGAAGAACAAGAAACTCTGAATAAAGTGAACAACTGTTAGTTTGCTTTATGGATGCTTCTAATCTACCCTGGGCATTTCTTCCTCCTTCGCATCACCCTGCTAACAAAGCAAAACACCATCAAGGAGAAAGCAGGAAAGAATATCAATTATTTATATTTAAAGAAACTTTCAAGCACGCCATTAGCTAGAGATCCAGCCACTGAAATATTAGTATTTGTATTTCGCATGTTCATTTGAAACTTAACTGCTTATGTAGTACTTTTACCTTCTGTTGTCTGTTCTAAATGCCAACTTTCCTCCCCCCCCCAAGGTATTAAATGACTAATGTATTGGTCTCAAGCCAGAATGTTTGATAAATGCCTATTTCAAGGCAGCTCTTTTGCAAGTCTTAATTAAAGTTTAATGTCAAATTGAAGCTTACTTTCAAATTTTCTTAGGTGTTTTTTTTCCTTTTTCCTTGTTAAAACATGATTAGAGAATACTGGATAAAACATAAGTTAGACATGTTCACTCATGTGCACAAGTCCTGTCTTTCATTAAGCTTGACTGAGAGTAAAATGACAGACACTCTGTGCAGCATAAGATAATGTATCAGCTGCATTAAAAAAGGGACATTTCACCCACAGTGATAATGGAAGTAGCACACATAGGAGGGTATGTATTGTTAATTATAGGGAACTGATTCCAGCAATTCCAGTTATATAGAGGAAAACGGGTTTTCTAAAAAGGATGAACTAAAGAGTCAGGGTTTAAACAGAGAAAGAGGACAAATAAAAGTTTGTCGTGGTGTTCGATATGTAGTTACTGATCAACTGCTATTACATTGCTTCAATGGTAAGAGAAATATCACGCACATACCTTATCAGCTGAGGAATGAAAAAATCCTCAGTTTAGCAGGAAAATAAATAAACAGTTGTGTGCTGACTATTTCAAAAGTTTAGTAAAATGTTTTTCATTTTGTGGTAGAAAGACAGAGACAACTACTCTATCTTGCAAAGAGATCAGCCTGATTCCTAATATAGAGACTGAATTTAATGGACTAGATGAGGATAGTGTAGGATAAAAGCTAAATTGGATCTGATGTATTTATGTTAGGTATAGATAATATGCATATTCCAAGTGTATTTTTATTTTTTTTTTGCATTGACATTTACAGTTTAATGAGGAAGTTCTGCAGAAGCCACACTAAGGGCTTTGGGAAATACAATATGTGCACTCCAAATATAGATTAAAAAAATATTTGGTTATAACTGTTTTATCTGATCCTTCATATAGACAGCTCAAAGTATCATACAGGGATTTTCCTTTTTGTGCTGTTATGATGTCTGTGAAGCTGATTCGTTCTTGCACCCCTCTGTTACATAAATTTGCCTAAAGCACCTAAATCCACAGAACCTGGTTAATATTTCCTCACTTCTTGCTGAGATCACACAACTGGTCTATCCTGGAGTGAGATTCACCTGAAGTGAGATTTTTTTACCCTGTGAGATGGACATAAACAACCAGCTTATTAAGTAATCCAAAATATTCACTTGGTAAATTATCACTACACAGTTGGCTGCTTCTGTTCATTCAGGAAGGGCCAAATCAGCTTACAGGAATTCATCTGAAAAATATAAATATGGGGAGTATTCTTTGATTATCTACAGGCGGTGTCAATTAGTTTCATATCAAAGATGCATTTTGGAAATGATTACTTTCCAAAATGATAGCATAGTTAAGAACAAATTCCAGTTTTTCTAGTGGAAGGATGCACATATTTAATTTTGAAGTGGAAAAGCCAGGTCTGAACTTCTAACAGTAGGATACAGAACGAAAGAAGAAATCTAAAATGAAATATAATGTTTCCTTTTCTGTTGTATTAAAACTGCAGTTCAAAAAGAAGTGGTTTAAATTAAAATGGTGTATATTCTTATTCATTTTTGTATAGGCCTTATGAAAAGAAACCTTACCTTTCAGTGGGAAATGTGAAACAGTTGACGTTGAATATCACCTTGTACAATGCTGGTGATGATGCTTATCAGACCAGCCTTCATATCCAGCTGCCTAAAGGTCTCTATTTCACCAAACTTGTAGCACAGGTAAGAAACCTATCTTCTATATCTTTGTATAAAATAATTTGCCAGATACTTTTTCATTCACTCGGCTAAAAAAAAAAAAAAAGCAAAAGTTTCATTTTAAAGCATTTGAAACGTAATTCACAAGACAAACTGAAATAAAGCAGGGCGACTGATTTAAACCAATGTACAGAACTACAGTCATTCTTCCAGGCTGTTTGGTTCTCTTAATATTATTCATTGAACAAGAAAAAAAGATCAATAGATAAAAATAAAAAGTTTTTCTTTTTGTTTCATAGAAATCAGTGGGGCTTACTGCAGAATAAGTATGTCAAGGACTATATAGTAAAACAGTTGTTTATAAAACCATATAAATTTTCCTTCAAAATTTCCCCTTCTTTGGGAAGACTACAGCTATAATTTTCTAGCAAGGCAAAGTGTATTTAATTATAATGAAAATTTTTGAAGTATTATTTGATGAAGCAGCAAGCAAGCTATATGTCAAATACCACTTTTTGCCCAAAACAAAAAGGTTAAAAGCAGATATTTAACATGGTACAACATTAGACCTAATTTGTTTAGACCTATAAATTGTCTCCTCCATGTGGCCAATGACACATGAACAACACAGAGTAATTTACTCTGTGTTAAATGTAAGGACTTCAAACAGCTTCCAATTTTCTTAGAAAAAACCCGAATTAAGTTTATAGGAAGTGGCAGCCAGCAGGTGTATCACCACCATCATCCCTCGTGGAAATCACTTTTGTTGGACCACACTACAGACTATGAGTACACATGCAACAAAACATTGTGCCTTCTTAATTATGGTCTGTTTCCTTTCCCTTGTCTTCTATCCAAAATAACAATGTCCCATCTACTTCATAAATCATACAGTTTTCTTTAGAATGTGAAATATTTGTAACCTGTCAGTAGGCATAAGGTAACTGGAAAGATAGAATTCACTCTTTTTCTCTTTGAATGATAAGCCTAATCAGTGCTTCTGTAAAAACCTGAGGTTTACCTTGAAGTGAATTAAACTTTCAGACTTTTATCAGTGATCGTGCTGGTGGTATTATTGGCCTGCAAAGATCACAGGAAGTATGGTGATGATTACCACCACAGAAGTTTTTTTTCTGTTTTCTTGTTTTATTCAATCTTCCAAATACCTCTGTATTTCTTAATAAGCGGGGGTGATTTGGAGATGTGGAAGTTCTGTTAACCTTTTCTCCCTAAAAAAAAGGTAAAGGAGTTTCTGCGGATTTTACTCCAGGAGTCATTGCCAACTATTGTGGGGGAGGGGCGTTCATCTCTGTTTCAAGGACATTTGAGTCAGCACTGTCTGGAGACATTTCTGCAGCCATGTGGCCAGCAGGACATCACGGAGCGTTGTTACCTTCCCGCTGAAGTGATACCAGTTTATCTCTTCACATTTGCATGCTTTTGAACTGCTAGGTTGGCAGGAACTGGGGTGAGGATGGAAGCTCACCCCATTGCATGGCGCTCGGGTCTCAAACCCGGGCTGCCGGCTTTCCAGCATCTTAAGTACTGAGCCACCACACAGCCCTTTCTCTCTAAATCATTTTCTGATATTTTTTTTCTTCCTTCAAAACTGCTATTTTCTTTTGGGGGGGGAAGCAAACCCTTTCAGAAAATAGGGAAAATTTTTAGTCAGGAACGAAGCATAACAGGAAAAGATTAGATAGAATTCCCTGTTTTCAATCTTTCTTATAATCAAAGTCTCAGAGAACATCTAGATCAGGGGTCCCCAGCCCCCGGGCTGCACCCCACTTTCTATTTGGAACAAGGCCTCGCGAGTGGCAGGCCGGCATGCACATGCGTGGGCAGCTCCACTTGCGTGAACGGCGGGCCAGCATACATGCAGCTCCACTACTGCAAGTAATGGGCCCGCATGCACATGCGCACCAGCCCGCCGCTTGCACAACCCAGTTTCCCTCTCTCCCTCCCCAGCCGGGCCACCAAGCCACAAAGAGTGGGGACTCCTGGATAGAGATTTTTTTGTTACCTTGTCAATTTGAAAAATTGTTTTTGCAAAACTTTTGCCTTCTTCTACCTCCTTAGCTATTGTTCATTTTTACAATAGGAAGAAACACAGATACATTTTCAAATATCAGAAAAGGAAAGTCATGGAGTGACAATTAACTGTAATATTGGATATATGTATGTTGATCATCTTTCAAAGGTAAGAATAAATATCAAAAGTAATTTAATGATATAGACTGTACTCTTCATTGTTATCATATCTGTATACCAAGGAACTATGATGGATCTCCTCAAATGTATGTTCCCTTACCAGAGTATTAATAATTATTAACAAAAATGGTCTCCATCTGCATTTTCTAGTATTTCTAATAATTGGTAAAAAGATTAAAAATAGGTCAGATTAAAATGTTAAATTGCAACATTTCTTAGATATGAGAACAGTGGTGTGACATATGGTAGCACTTTGGGGTTTGTTTGCTGTAGCTGTTTACAGCAGTTCAGTTCAGTGCAATGTTTGGAAACCATAAAAATGGAGCATGGCTAGTCATTAAACAGAGTTAGGGGTACATCTGTATAGACAGGATTCCTAAGATGCTTAGTAGCAAAATTAGTTTAAGTCACAGGTCTGCATGTTGAGAACTGTATTGATTGTTAATCTATATGCTGCCTTGGTAAGTGAATAGTTATAGACTTCAGTAGTATAATTACAGCTAATTTACTGATTACAGTGCATAAGATAGATAGATAGATAGATAGATAGATAGATAGATAGATAGATAGATAGATAGATAGATAGATAGATAGATAGATAGATAGATAGAAAGAATACAGATTGATTAATGTAAGCTGAAAAAAATCTTTGTTTCAGGTGGACATTAGCTTTGTGTTGGATTCAAGTTCACTCAGCAGAGCAGAAGATGACTTACACATCAACATTAATGCAACTTGGTAAATATTGCTTACTACAGGTTGTTACTTTAGACCTATATTTGAAAGAACAAAGAACTGCAGAAAAATACATTTCATAATTTGCAGAAATTTCACGGAAATCTAATGTGATCTTCCTTTTTGGGGTTGGAAAAATAGGCTGTGGATACAGTCCTCAAATGGGCAAAACTCTTGTACCAAAATTATAGAAAATGTGCTTGCTTGCATTTGATCATGCTATCTATTGCCAAATGTACTGTGTAACAAAGAAAATCAAACAGTACCCAGGCCTGTCAGTAAACATTGTGATGTGTTGTAACATTTCTCTCCTTCTGTAGTGAAAACGAATTAGACCATGATCTGCTGTCCGATAACAGTGTAGTGTTAGCTTTGGCTCAGAAACACGAAGTTGAACTGAACATTCACGGGTAAGCATTTGGACATGTGTATAGAGCTGTTGCAAAGCAACATTCAGACATTCACTGATTTATTAGTGTTTTGAACCTGTGGATGTTCTTGTGTGTTCTTTTAATTGCTCACCCTTAGCTCGTTTTTATGGAAAGGCAGCATAAAAGCTTCGCAAATGCTGTTTTAACAGGATAACTAGGTAAATTCAGTGTTTGGGCTTTCAACCTTATAGAGGTTTAATGTTGTCCGACAACATTAAAGATGGATAGCTGAGATTTATTTGAGTTACAAAAGCCTAATTTCAGAAAAAAATATTAAAATACATAGTGGCTCTTGATCTTAACACAGCTTTTTAATAAATGAAAAAGTTTTGAAATCTGTTTGTATAATATGTATTAAACTTAATTGTAAGTATTTAATTACAATTAAATACATATATAGGAATATGGATTATAGTGTAAAACTCAAGAAATAGAAAGAGATGCCAGCATTATTTTTTTTAAAAAGTGGCATACACTTGGCAGAGTGCATGCACTTGCAATTTAAAAGGTGCCTGGCTTCTTCAGAGAAGGCTAGAAAATACTCTTGTTTCAAATGCTGCAGAGATATATACAATATTGACAATGCCCATCTAGGTAGAGCAGTCTTAGGCCCAGTACTCTTCAATATCTTCATAAATGACTTAGATGAGGGAATAGAAGGGAATCTCATCAAATTTGCAGATAACACTAAGCTGGCAGGAATAGCCAACACCCCAGAAGACAAGCTCAGGGTCCAAAAAGATCTTAACAGACTTGAACAATGGGTTCTATCCAACAAAATGATATTTAAGGTTTTGCACCTGGGCAGGAAAAACCAAAGGTACAAGTACAGATTAGGTGAAACCTGGTTCAAGAACAGTAACTCTGAGAGGGACCTTGGAATCCTAGTGGACAATCATTTAAAATGAGTCAGCAGTTTGCAGCAGCAGCCAAAAAAGCTATTACAATCCTTGGTTATATAAACAGAGGCATAGAATTAAAATCACATGAAGTATTAGCACCACTTTATAAAGTCACATCTGGAATACTGCATCCAGTTTTGGTCACCACATTACAAAAAAGATGTTGAGACTTTGGAAAAAGTGCAAAGAAGAGCAACTAAGATGATTAAAGGCCTGGAGACTAAAACATATGAAGAATGGTTGCAGGTTTTGGCTATCGCCAGTCTAGAGAAAAAAAGGACTAGGGAGGACATGATAGCAGTATGCCAGTATTTGAGAGGCTCCACGAGGAGGAGGGGGTCAATTTGTTCTCCAAAGCACCAGAAGGCAAGACAAGAAATGATGGAAACTAATCAAGGAGAGAAGCAACCTGGAATTAAGGAGAAACTTCCTAACAGTGAGGACAATTAACCAGTGAAACAGCTTGCCTTCAGACATGGGTGCTTCATCCCTGGAGGTTTTAAAGAAGAGACTGGACAGCCACTTGTCTGAAATGATATAGGGACTCCTGCTTGAGCAGGGGGCTGGACTAGAAGACCTCCAAGGTCCCTTCCAGCTCTATTCTGATTCAGTCTTTCCAAAATAGGTGAGTTCTTTTTTGATACTCAGATGCAAGCTGGATATGTGACTGACTCTACGAGGACAGTCAGTCCCAGCAGATGAGGCCTCCATCTCATCTGCATCTCTACCCTCTCAGAACTGTTCTGGAAGATCACGTACAGATTTAGAGGCCATGTAGAAAAGCAGGAGGAAAACAGCGATGAAAACTCCAATTATGGAAGTTTAATTGGATGTAACTAAGTTTTAAATCTGTATGGTAAACGGTACTCAAAGAAGTTATCATATGATTGATTCCACTTAAATCAATATTTTCTCTTTTATTGCTTGTAGGTCTGTGTCTCCAGCATCATTTATTTATGGACCCACCAAAGAAAAATCACCACTTTCTTGCATGAAGGAGACAATCAACATCACTTTCTATGTATGAATATTATTCTCTATTTTCATTGACTTTTGGAATAATGAATTAAAGTAAATTAGATTTTTTTTTAAAAAAATGTTTTCTCATGACTGAGATGGATTTGAATCTTAAGTCTTCCCAATCCAAGTCCAACATCTAACCCTCTACAAAGTGGCTTTCTTGGCCACTGAAGCTCTGCCCACGCTGATCAATCTCTGAACCCTATTCATTTAATTTTATCCATTATGTCACAGCTACTCTCTTTTTACAGTGAAGGAGGTCATCTTGGTTTTTGAATCATAAGTGCCATTGTGAATCGCCACATTTATTATAATGTAAATATCCCCTTTCAAAAATGGGTGTTTAATTTTTGCTCCATATATTCGTTGTTTCAAAAAAAAAGACTTTCTTGCTGGGGGAATGGCAAATAAGAGCTATTTTTGTATCTTGTACCATAGGTTTAATTATTTAGTTACAATGTCCTTTAATGCCATTTTGTATACCTTAAGTATGCTTTGGACACTGATCTGCAAATGTTAAAATATACAGACGTTTTAGCAGTATATGTTCAGTAAATGTTCAGAATTCAACATTTGGAAGTGAAAGATTTTTAAAATTCCAATTGTTTTCTTAGGAGAAAGGCGATAGGGTGCAATAGTTCTGATATCAATTCAGATAAAATACTAATTCATCTCTGGCCTTCTGTATACCAAAGGTCAGTAATCCTGGAGTGAGTCTGGCTCCCGATGTAAATCTGCTGATACAGATACCCAATTTTTTTCTACCAAGAGATGACAGGTTGTTTAATATACTGGATGTCAAGGTATGCTTAATTTATTTTCTGGATCTGGAACATGAAATGTGACACAGCATAACAAATTGTCCAGTTGTTAGCTTTCTACATGGATCTGAAAGCTTTATGAGCGATTGTGATACGCTATCTTTAAGAGGAAGACCAAACCAGCAATGCCATTGATAGAAAAAGGTGTAAAGCAGCATAGGGGAGAGTATGTTACAAACAGATTAAGACAGGCAAAGGAGGCTTAACAATCTTTGTTTATTGACGAGTTTCTGCTTTGACTTCAGAAGACATCAGAAAATACTATGAAAATATAAGAATAGGTGAATAATTGAATTTCAGGCTAGAGGGGCAGCAAAATCTACAAGATATTGGGAGTAATGCAAGACCCACTCCTTTTGTACATGCCTCGAGATCACACAAATTTGCAAAAAGAACAGGTCTGGTATCATGACCTTTTGACACACATCCCGTAGACCAAGGCTTTTCAACCAGTGGTACGGGTACCACCTGTGGTACATTGGCACCTGGCAGGTGGGTCGCGACCATTCTAGAAAAGTGGTAGCAGGGGAGGGGAATGAGCTAAACCGGTGGCAGCACCGCACAAGCCTGAGCGAGAGACAGCTGGAGCTGCAGGGCTGTCAGGGCTCAGCGGAAGCGCCAGGATCAGCACTTCTTTGGGGCTGTCAGGGCTCAATGGAAGCGCCAGGATCAGCGCTAGGCTCCAGCTAGAGCTCGGCGCTGATCCTGGCACTTCTGCTGAGCCCAGAAGAACCCCCATCAGCTGGAATGTTGCAGCATCTCCAGGGTCTTGTGATTTACATTCAGATGCTTGGCAACTGATTCATATTTATGACGGTCACAGTGTCCCGTGGTCATGTGAAGTGACCAAAACCTGCTGCAACCACCCAGCAGATGGGGGGGAATAAAAACCAACACCCCCCCACCCCACCCCCGCTGCCAATCCTCAACAGAAATGCTCACAACAATGAAAACCTCGGACAGGAGGAAGAGCGCCACCGGGTGGGCAGACAGATGTCTTGCTCGGCTGTGGCTTGGGGGGCACTTTTTTCAGTGCCATTGTAACTTTGAACAGTCACTAAGCGAACTGTTGTAAGTCGAGGACTAACTGTACTTCATCACTTTTTTCCTTTTTTTTTTTTTTTTGGTCATCAAGTTTTTGACACCTTGCTAGGCGACTGGTGGTATTTGGATATTGCCATATCCTAAAAGTGGTACATTGGGTGAAAAGGTTGAAAAGCCCTGATGTAGACATTTCTGAGAAGGCATTTGCCTCAAGATTGATGCTGCCTGCCTTAAATGTTTGTGGTTCCCTGATGTTGATTTACACTGTAATTGGCATCTTGCTTTTGAGTTGTACTATTCAAGATCAGTACATAATTTTAATATGAAAGTAGTAAATAAGTTACTTCCGCGCAACTTCCATAGAAAGGGAAGGAAGGTTAGGTAGGGATGTTCAAAACTTTTCAAACACGAGTAAGCTCCAAATAGTTGTTTTGAGTTTAAAACAGCTGGTTTGCATTGTTTCAGTCACTTTGGAAGTATTCTGAGGTCAGTTTCATACTCAAAATACTCTCAGCCCAAATGACACAGCTGTTCCAGCTCAGAGGAGTATATTTGGAATTTGAAGTTTTTCTCATGGCTCATATTAGGAGAAAAGAGTCAGTGATGCTGCATCACCAATAAAATGCAGAAGAGAGTGCAGTCAGTCATAAAATATTTGGGGTTCTTTTTCCCATATAAAATAATATTTTTTCCAACATGGACATGAAGACTTGTGATAGGTACTATGAGCCCTTATGAATGGTGTTTGTGATTACTGCATGCTGGTGCTTTTCTATTCTTAAGATGTGCCTTAGGAAATCTTAAAAAGGGCTACAATTGTCCTAGGTGTCCCCTCAAGCTATGAAATGGACAGCAGATATATTTAATAATAAAAATATAAAATAAAATAGCTGTCCTGCTTATAACAACTATATCCCCTTTTCTTCACTGTCTCCTCATGCCCCAGAATCTTTAAAGACATGGATTAAAGTATGGGTCAAACTTAGATAGCATTAAAGCTTAGCTATAAGTTTGCTCTTCCCATTATTACTTGAATTTGTTTCATTTTAATTAAGAAAGTTTTATTAAAACAGTAATTTTTACTGAGCTGATTTACGATGTTATATGCAATGTCTACAAATTTCTTTGGTATCAAAATGTAAGACAATTATGGTTTTGCTCATTTGCAGACCACTGATGGACAATGTACCTATGAAAGTCATAGGAGAGACTGTATTTTACCAGAAGAACGGGGAAATATGGTGCAAGATCTTATTATATTCCTCACAAAACTTGACAATAGACCACTGGTAATTTCACTGTTTTTTTTTACTGATTTGTTAAAGCTGTAATGTCTTCCTATTGCATATTTCTGCCTTATAAGCAGAGTTTTCAGAACCACAGAGCAGCTTGTTTATGCTTAAATAATTTAATGTATGCCTCATTTCAGTGTTAAGCTATCTGGGAACAAGTCACATTGTATTTAAGGGCATTTATTTCTCAAAAGACATAGGCAGGATTGCGCTGTCAAGAACTCAACAGTTGGAAATAAACTTATAAAGACTTAAAGAATAGCACAGTAACATTTGCTGAGGCTTCAGTACTCTTAAAATTTGAAAGCTTAATGGCTCATATTCAAAACAGTTGACAAGTGATAACCAGTGCCTCCTTTTAAATGTCTTTCCATAAATTAGAAATACATTACTATCAAAGCCATCTAATGGTTTTACACGTGAGGCGTTTCCAAAAAGCCAGATTAACTTAATTTGCTTTCTTCCAGACAGGACTTGACACAAGGATAGCTCAGAAAAACACAGGTTCTGCCTACACAAACAATACCATATCTGTCTCAGTGGTGCTGTCCTAAGAAACAATGTGCTGGGTTGGTAGATTTACCTACCCAAGGAAAACAATAACAACTACCTATTGCTCTAGGTCAGGGGTCTTCAAACTTGGCCCTTTCATGACTTGTGGACTTCAACTCCCAGAATTCCTCAGCCAGGCATGCCTGGCTGAGGAATTCTGGGAATTGAAGTCCACAAGTCACAAAAGGGCCAAGTTTGAAGACTCCTGCTCTAGGTTATAATGCTGAGTTTAGTAATTTGTCAGAGCCTGATCAGCTGAGAGGGAGAGCTCTGCTTTACTGGGAAGAAGCCTCTATCTGTTGCATCCATCGCAGTCACCCAATCACAGCTGTTAGGCACTGTGGGTGGGAACATTTGCAGCAAAACCAAAGCAAAGCATCTATGGGGAGGAGTGTCGGGTAGCATGCAAAATGTAAGGTAGTGCCTTGCTAACCTACCCGTCAACTTCTTGGAGCTGGAGTTGTTGGAGTTCATGAGTTGATGTTGAATTCCTAGATTACTCATGCAACCTGTTAACACACTGAAGCAGAAGCAATTGCTGCTTGTCTGTCCTTCTGACCCCAAATCCCTGTCTTTTGGTAGGTAGCTATAATGGTATGTAGGGATGACTACGGGAGACAGGGCAATGTGACTGTACCAATGGAACAGTCATATAAAAGGTAGCTTATCCCACAGCAGGAATATGTGAGGCAAAAGGCTTAGAAAAGACCCTCCCTAATTTGGGGGCTGTAAATGGGAGAGAAGCACTTTCAGACTAGCAAAACTATGTTAACATAACCTTTTAATAAAGTAGAATTAGGTCACCTGGTCATGGTTCCCTGTCTGGTATATCTCATAAGGCTGACAGTATTTGAGATAGCTTTGATTCCAGCCACTCTTGTCTATTGTATAGTTGCCTGTCAGCTATTACCCCACAGAGGACCAGGAGTATGTCTGCACTAGCTAAAAGCAAACAATAATTGCTGGGAAGATTGCACCATGTTGTATCTTCATCTCAACCACTGCCAAAGCATGACATGCAAATGGCAAAACCTGTGTTGGAAACACATGGCAAAAACCCTCTTAAATTTTAGGTTCAAGAGAAGGACCTGAGCTTCAGAAGAACCTGAATTGAACTGGTCTCAAATGTGGGCTGGAGTTGACAGGAAAGTTGCATCATGCAGAAGCGTCTCCTTCAAAAACAGTTATTCAAAAACCCTCAAGCTGGATTTAAGGGGACATGTAAATGTGCTTATGTTAGCTATTGCCTATGAGCTAATGTGATTCACGGGATGAGAAATGAATCCCACATTCTTTTCTAATCTGAGCAAGCCTGGAGTCAAAATTTAATTGTATATTCCAGTTGGTGTACAAACATGCTTATGCTCCATTTTGCATATATATCTACGTGTGCTGCACTCATGTTACTCTGTGTAATACATCTTTATATTCTTTCTCTCCTAAAGTTTTGTATGAAGAATGATCCACTATGTTGGCAAATATTTTGCAAATTTGGAGACATGGAGAGTGGAAAGGAATCAACTGTTAATGTTCATCTTGAAGCAACACCTGCACTATTAAGCATAGTAAATATTTTAATCTTTGTGCTATCATACTGAAGGCTATGTAATCATATTCTTAAGTGTTGGAGAACCAGACAAAATGTCATGTTTCAATACCAGATTAAGTAGTTGCTTAATATTTTTTTCTCTGAATAACCTCAGCTGAAAAACATTTAATTTTGAATAGGGTTAGTCCTATGTAGACTCTCCATCTTACCTCCTTAGCCTCACTTATTATTTCATATTGTTTTTATCTGAACCTTTACAGAGCAATTGATTTAAAATATTTTTTTGACTTCTTAACAATAGGATGAAGCTTCAGTGCTTACCTTTCAAATAAAAGGAGAAGTTTCAGCAGATCAAAATCCCAGAGTAATTGAACTCCACAAAAATAAGCAAACCACTTATGTAAGTATTATTTGAGAGTCAGAAAGTAAAGGAGAGGAAACATTGGACAACTTAAGTATTAACCCAGATCTGCTTGGATTTATTTTCTAACCCAAAGCAGACGGGATTTATCATTCGGCATTAGTCCTTGCATTATTTCAGCATCCGACGTCTATTCTGCTACATATAAAACAAGGGCTGTTGGGAAGAAGCACATTATATTGTTTGCATCTATCTGCAAGAAAGCCATATTTGTAATGTCATAAACGCAGGATCTTTATTGCATGATTATTTAGTCAGAAATTGTACTGTAATCAGAGTTCAAACATTTCTCTGAAATCAGTGGCATTTTGACTTTTGTGAGATTTCTTTTTTATATCTACCGTGAGGGCAAAAAGGTCACGGCTCAAATCCAAACCATACTTCTGTGAGAAGCGGAACCAAGAGTATTCCAAAGCTGTGTTTCTACCTGCGATAACTGTGTTGTTTTATTTTCTACAGGTCATTTTGGAGGGACGTCATAACCAAAAGACAAAACATAGTGTCAGTGTCTTGCTTATTTCAATAGGTTCCCTATTTGGAATTGCTTTGCTTTTGCTTCTTATATTAGTTTTATGGAAGGTACGTATTTCAGTTTTAATCTACACATTGGTGTATTTTTATGGGTTGGCTAGATATCCATCCCAAAGGAAAAAATACAGCTTTTCTAAACACTAAAAGAAATCAGCAATGTGCTCTAGAATACACAGCTTTTGCTATGATTTTTATTTGGCATTTGGGAACAAATGTGGTTTTTATGCAGCTTATTAACTTTAATGTGATTTGGGGAAATGATAGCATAAAATGAACAGAGAATTCCAATAGCCATTTGGACAGATGACAAGGGGAGGGAGAAATGAGGCTTTGGAATCATGGGGGAAAGTGGTTAGCAGTTATAAATCAAGAGATTTTAGGTTGCCTGACTTCCCAAATAAATAGCTTCTTGTTTCATTTTAAACATTTTTTTTGCAATTTGGAAAATGATATACTGTAGATGTAAGTGTTAGAGGGAGAATGCTTTTTATTTGGTTCATCCTCCTGCTGGATGAAATGTGTCTGGTTTTTTTTAAATGTAAAAAATAAGTTTTTATTCGGGATGTTTAAACTTTGGTATGTATTTTGAGTATAGGTGAATCTTAGTATATTAAACCAGTGGGCAATGTTCTTTTTCTAAAATATAAATATGCATACGTATTAGTGCTTTGAAATTGCAAACTTTGTAACTATTTTTGGAACTGTGTATTCCAGGTGGGATTCTTCAAAAGAAAATACAAACATTTTCCTGAGGAAAAAAATGGAAGTGAAAGTTTGGAGTTTTTTAAACATATTAACAGTGATACCTCAGAGTAGCAAGTTTGGTAGAAGTTAAGAATTATCTGCTACAAGAACCGTTAAATCTTAAGGCCCCATATCGTATGTGAAAGGAATAGTCATCAAAATGGGCTTCCGGAAGCACAAATCATAGAAAACTCTGAAGGATAAAGATATTCAAGACTTCTCATCAAAAGGAAAGAAAAACTCAAAATGCAGGAACAAGGAAACACTAGGAATTGCTCCTTGATTTTTAAAAAAGTACTGGAGAAAGGAGCATTGTACTAATCATACTTGAATCGCGAATGTATAACCTCGCTTCCCAAGACATTCCAATGTACAGGAGGATGCTACATTAGCCCAATTTTAGTCTCCACACAATTAATGTAGAGCCGTGTTCTCCCCTTCTAGTTCCTAAAATGAAACCAGTGACATCATTTTTTTAGATTTGCAAATGTAGTGGATGCTGACAATTTTTATTCTACTGTCTCCACCTTGCTCTGGAAATACTGGGAACCTCCAGGTAAGAACTATGCTTATATGTAGGACCTCTTCAATGAAAGAAGGGAGGCTTTTTTTTTTTTTTATGGAAGGGGAACAACATGCGATCTTGGATATCCCCTCCATTGTATCTGTTCAGACTTCTCCTGCAACTTACAAGCCTGGAATATTGGCATTCTCTATCAGTAGGGACCCTGCTGATTAGAGGGTCTTACTGGCAGAGAATGAGGGGTCAGTGGTGAGGAAGAAACTAACCTGGTTTGTGAGCTCTTCCTCTGTGTATCGAACTGAAAAACCAAATGACAGAATAGAGCTTTTGGCTCAAGGTCTATATGAGATTTTTTCTTGTGCGACTCACAGCCATGTTTTGAGGGTTCTTCCTGGCTGGGTTGGAGATGTCCTCCCATTGTGTAAAATCAGGGACATGGCAGTTACCACTCTTCCTCTTATGCAATCATTTTATTTATTTTTGTATTTTAAAGAAATAAAGAGAGACAATCTTTTCCTAATTTTTACATAAATGTATTTTCTTGTACACCTTATACTGGTTAAGAATGTTTAGCATAAGACTTGAGATGGTGAAGTAGTGCACTTTAACCCCAAGGTGATTATTTGAACAAAACAGTCTATGACATCAGTTGTACCTCGAAAGCATTAAAGACTTAAAGATTTAAAAGAACAATCTGTTCTATCACTGTATAACCCTACACTGTAAAAATGAATGATCACCAACATTGAACTAATAAAATATTAAATAAAATGGAACANTGCTTGTGGGTATACAATATTTTTTGTTGTTCCATTGTCTGTGCATCAATTCCAACGCAATGTCACACGAAATAATTAAATCAAAATGAAAATAAATCGAAATCTATGAAAATTCAATTTAACAATGCAATCGGAAACATTGAAATGGAATCGTAAAATTGGAAATTTGGAAATTGTAAATGGATCGTAAATCAGAAACATTGAAATGGAATGGTAAAATCGTAGCGTGTGTTGCTTTTACGTCCAACAGATGGCGCTGTTTTTCAAAAACATGTTTTTACCTGTCACAGGTGTGACATCTATATAATATAGGTATATAAAAACACGCGCGTATTCGTTGTGTCAACGTGTCAAAATTTCAAAGCAATCGGTGAAGAACTTTCGGAGATTTAAGATTTTGAACAAACGAACATTTACATTTTTATTTATATAGATTAGACTTTCCGTGTATAATTTACTTATGAAGGCTGGCTTTTACAATGTTGTAACACTTAACTCTTTTGAAAGCCTAAGAAGACTTATTTAAAAATGAACACTTTTATTTAAAAATGAACAGTTTACTTCTGACAATCTCTCCTATACCCTCCATGTTAACAATGTAAATTTATCACTGTAATTTGCTTACTAATCTTTCATACAGAGGCTGGAAACCTCTACATTAGACATAAATGTTTGCATGGTATTTCCCACCTTAATGTCCTACTGGGACTACTTGAGGAACTTCCTCGTGCTCCTCAAGGACATTGCAGTAGTCCCAGTAGGCACAAAATGCAGCTGGTACAAAATGCAGAAACAGTTTGTAAATGTGTATTTGGCAGATGTAACACCGTTGCTTTGGGGACTGCAATGATTGCCAGTGTGCTTCCGTGTGCAATTCAAGATGCTGGTTGTCACTTTTAAAGCCCTTCATGAGATTTAACTGAAGGACTGACTTCTGCCATTGTTTCTGCCCATCCAATCTGATCCAGCAGGATGGGCATGCTCTGGGTTCTGTCAGCCAAGGAATGTCACCAGGAGATGTGCCTTTTCTGCCACCTGTCCTCCGGAACACACTCTCCCCTCAGATTAGGATGGCCTCAACCCTGCTGACCTTCTGGAAGGCCTCGAAGACCTGGCAATGTGCCTGGGCCTCAGGTCCCAAGTGTGTGAAGGACCCCATTTCCTGGTAATGTTGACACTGACAGATTATATCATCTCTTGGCTTCTATTTGTATTTCATTTCTTTTGGTATATAGAGTTTTATTCATTGTTTGCCATGCAGAGGCACTGGTTTGAGATGGGCAGCTATACAAATTGAATAAATAATTCAATTTTCAATTCAGAATAGAGCTGGGAGGGACCTTGGAAGTCTTCTAGTCCAACCCCCTGCTCAAGCAGGAGACCTATACCATGTCATACACATGGCTGTCCAGTCTCTTCTTAAAAACCTCCAGTGATGAAACACCTACAACTTCTGAAGGCAAGCCGTCCCACTGGTTAATTGTCCTCACTGTTAGAAAGTTTCTCCTTAATTCCAGGTTGATTCTCTCCTTGATTAGTTTCTATCCATTGTTTCTTGTCCTGCCCTCTGGTGCTTTGTGGTAGCCCCTCAAATATTGGAATACTGCTATCTTGTCACCTCTAGTCCTTTTCTCTAGAGTAGCCATACCCAACCTTTCTCATATGTTTTTGTCTCCAGACCTTTAGTCACCCTAGTTCAGTGATGGCGAACCTTTTAGAGACTGAGTGCCCAAACTGCAACCCAAAACCCACTTATGCATTGTCGAGTGCCGGGTGGGTGTGGCCCATTGGGTGGGCATGGCCAATTGGGTGGGTGTGGCTGCAGGGGTAACAGCAGACTGGGTGGGACTAAAAAGTTCAATCAATCAATTCCAACTTTGCAAGATCCTTTTTTTCCCCACGAGAAGTTGAAATTGACTGATTGAACCTTTTTTTTTTTTTTTTGCACACGGCAGCAGAGGCCTAAAGCGAAGAAGTTTTATAAAACCCAGCTGAAGGCCTAGGACTGGGGCGACGGCACGCGTGCCCATAGAGAGGGCTCTGAGTGCCGCCTCTGGCACCCGTGCTATAGGTTCGCCACCACTGCCCTAGTTGCTCTTCTCTGCACTTTTTCCAAAGTCTCAACATCTTTTTTTCTAATGCAGTGACCAAAACTGAATGCAATATTCCAAGTGTGGTCTGACTAAGGTTTTATAAAGTGGTACTTATTTCGTGTGACTTTGATTCTATGCCTCTGTTCATACAACCAAGGATTATATTAGCTTTTTTTGGCTGCTGCTGCACACTGCTGGCTCATATTTAAGTGATTGTCCACTAGGATTCCAAGGTCCCTCTCACGTTTACTGTTTTTGAGCCAGGATTCACCTAATACATACTTGTACGTTTCATTTTTCCTCCCAAGGTGCAAAGCCTTGCTTTTCTCCACATTAAATTTCATTTTGTTGGATAGAGCCTATTGTTCAAGTCTGCTCAGATCCTTTTGGAAACTGAGCTTGTCTTTTGGGGTGTTGGCTATTCCTGCCAGTTTAGTGTCATCTGCAAATTTGATGAGTTCCCTTCTATTCCTTCATTTAAGTCATTTACGTTACGTTGTTTATGTTTATTTTAAATAATAAAATACTGGAACAGTGATAAACCTGTGAAAGTCTTCCGAGTGAATGGGAACCATACATGAAACTCTTTTCTTGAAATTATTAAAGCAGGCAGGTCTTTCAGAAGCTGATCCCATCTTACTTTGCATTTGCATGAAATGGATGCTTATGCGGAGACAACTGGGAGCAGCTGGATGAAAAAGAGGCAGCTGACTTAATCATTAAAATGTACTACGTTGAATGCAGTCCCATTTATTACAGAACCCTTTTCAAAGGATCTGCACATCCCTGGCAATGTTAATAATTCTCTATGTATTAGAGAATTTGTGTGGTGAGGTACCAGGGTAAAAACAAAGACCACAGGTCCTAGTCCTGCCTTAGGCACAAAGCCAGCTGGGTGACCTTGGGCCAGTCATTTTCAGCCCTAGGAAGGAGGCAATGACAACCTTTTTCTGAAAAACCTTGCCAAGAAAACTGGCCAGAAAATGTTCAATAACTGGACACAATTGAATGGAAGAAAAAAAATCTAGCCACATAGCAAGCAAGGAATAGACTTCGTAGCCCAGAGTAATGCACACAGAGTATGTATTTTGATTGTTATTACAACTAAGAGAGTGAAAGAACTTGCAGTGAAAACATCCTATGTTTCCAGGATGTGGTCATCTTCCAACTAGGTATACTTTTTACAAAATGAAACAATGCAAAGAATTTGGTGCTTTTGCTGGTTTTTATTTATGAATGAATTATATAAGGAACAAAGGCTTTGTATAAGGCCACAATGTACAAATGCACCAATTTCTATTTCGAAAATCAGCCAAATTATTACTTATGTTTAAAAGTCTAGCTGATATGCCAACTTTTATTTTATTTACTCGTATGAAATCATAATTCATAGCTAAGTATTTTAGTTGTTTTGCTTTAAAGAACAAATTGAAAAATATTCTGTTAGTATGCAGATATATTTCTATTTCAATTAAAAACTGGGTAATAATTTTATATATTAACTCACTCCAAATATCCTGTAAATTGTGAATTATTAGAAAGGAGTCCTTAAGATGTTCTAAAAAGGTCGCTGAATGCCCAGTGTAATGCATGGGTTCATTCATTATAATCAACTATTAGAAGACCTGAACCAGGTCCAGAACTCCTGATCAAGAGGCAAAGCTCAGTGATGGAAAACTGACTGTGTTCAAGTGAATTTTTATTTTGCCTTCAGTACAATGCTTTCCAAACTTTTCCCTTCATTACCTCAAGCTGCTTATCATAAAGGTGGGGTTTTTTTTTAACCCAATGTAGATTAAACCTTTTTAGTTTATTTAAATGTCCCTGTTGTGATTGGGTACGTGGGTAATTTCCCAAAGAAAAATACTTTTATCCAATTTGGGCAATTTAGTCTCTGGAGGAACTATATTACATTCTTGCAGATTGCTAAATTTCCATGAAAAACCCTGGGGTAGGATGGGTGGGGCATTTTAAGTCAGATCATTCCTTAAGTCAGATCATTCCTTGTACGGAGGAAAACATCCACTTGGGGGCAGTCAGTGAATTTTTTTTCCTCCTTCCATCACTTTGAGCCAGCTGTCTGAAAAATGAGGGTGCAATTTTAGGGATAAGCAACATCTAGTTCTGTCTAAAAACAATGAAGTTACCGGTATGAACCTAAAATAATTTTAACACCGAAAGAGCTGACTTCCCCAAAGTCTACATTATTTCTCTAATATAGGCAATCTCCCCTAATTATTTAATATTCCTGCAAATTTGTCAGAGCTACAGCTGGGTGATTTGCATACAAAACCCAAAACAGGAATCACAAAATATGCCTTGATCCAACCTGAAGGTGAAGGTAACAGCACTTGTCCCAATAAGAAAGTGGGTATTTTCCCATGACTCTGAATTGTGTTCTGAGTTGAATCTTGAGATACACTGCATACTTCTAACTTGAATCATCCAGACTTCCATATCTTTATGCAAATTTTGTCATATAAATATGATTGGGGTGGAAAGTAGGTACCGTAATTTTTTTCGTAGATTATTTCTAAATACAACTGCAGGATTCTTTCAGATTATCCAAAATAACAACATTTCCTCCATACAGATTGATCAACTGGGAATGTACCCTGAAAATGCAAGAGAAACATAAATAAATTATGATATTACTGCTTTATCTGAACATGTACTTTTTGTTCATATGTTTTTGAAAAAATACTGTTTACGTAATAGAAAAAAATAGAAGAAAAATAATTTCCTTTATAGTTCTCTTCATACAAATGGGAGGCCAATTTGGGGAAGTATTTGTGTGTAATTCATTCGTACAACAAATAAGTTGAGGAAAATGGAACTGATGGCGCCAAAGCATGGATGTATCGCTGAGTTGCAGAGAATTTGATAGTTATTTTGTTTGTTTCTTTATTAACTTGTAACTCAAATGAGCTTCAGTCACATTGACAGGCTTTAAACAGAATGCATAAAGGCTAATTGGAGAATATATTTACCTTCAGATATATTTCCAACCAGTAAGGATATATACAAATACATAGCATTTGATTTTAAAAAAACTATCAATTGGGAAATAATTCTGAGATATTTGTTATCCAACATTAAGCTCCAAACTGACATTTTCAATACGTGTATCTTAAAGTATTGGCATGCCAGTGTGTCTTCCCTAATCTTGTACACTTTGAAACTGGGTATATTGATAACAGACAATAAAATCCATAATGCTATAATTCAAGTCTATACATTACAGTTTAAATTTGGATGTATCTGCTTCTATGCAAATATGACATATAAATGTCAGGTAGAGACAGGCATGATTCTGTTTTCCCATTACGAGATGTTCTTTGCATCAAATGTTAAGATTTGGCTATGGTCCAAGAAGAGAAGGAGCCCATCATACAGCAGCAAACTACATTACTGTGAAACTTGAAAGAGACAAGTCACTTAAATACTCCAACTTTCTCATTACGCCTAGATCTGCTTAGGGAAAATATCTTTCTGCAAGAAATTAAAACCAAACACTGGGTCAATGTGAATTTTCTCATTATCCTGTGTAGTGTGGAAATACACCATACAAAGCTTATGCTAAACTAAAAAGAACTGCCAACACTTGTAGTTCAAACATGACAAAATGTAATCATACCGGATATGAACTTCTGTTGCCCATTCCACTAAATCTCCATCTATATTCCAGGGATAAGTCTTTTCTTCAGAATCTATACAGTTTAGATTATCTGCAGGGGTATGTTTCATTCCGGTTCTTGGACAGACTTTTACTTCTTCAACAATGTAAGTATCAATAAAAGGAAAGCTGAACTAAAATACAAAGCATAAACGCAACAGTTGAAAAATCTGGTATCTGCAAGGATTTGTCATGTGTCTGCTTCCATTACAGAGTGGAAAACTAATGCTAGAAGACAATATATCTATGAGCATTTTAGCATTCTTATAGAAAATGGGAATGGGTTTTGCAGAACGGAATTTGCAAAACAAAGTTTCAATTTTTTAAAAAATTATTCTAGATTTTGCTATGTGATTTTAATTTTTCTGCTGATTGCCACCCATTCTGTAGGATTGTTAAAATCAAGAAATAAAACTTAAATGGTATTCTCACTCAAAGGCATCTCAGGAAAACATGTATATGCTTAGTTCTGCCAAATCCAATTGGATGGTTGACCTTCCTTAATTCATCCTTGGATACCAGGTTTATAGAATTGTGCCATTATAGTGAACCATGCTGAATACCCATAAATTCTAATCTATATTTCCCAAACTGTAAAGCAGGCGTGTCAAACTCGCAACGTCCTGTGACGTGTCGCGATGTATCGCGACTTATTTTCCATTGCCGGCAATGGGGTGGGTGTGGTTTCAGCATGATGCATCCAGTCCGCGGGCCAGCAGTTTGACACCCCTGCTGTAAAGGGTTTATCCTTGGTACTTATTACTTGGTACATACAAGTACTATGATACATCCCATTGTGAAAATACAATCAGAATAAATAGACTCAGATTCTTCCCATCCCCCTCTGCAGTCCAGATATACTGCCTTGAATAAATGCTGGATAGAAATGTTTGCTATCATATTTTGTATCACTTATCTGGAATATGTTTACATGGTTGTGGTAAACCATAATCTCTTAAGAGTCTCTCTTTTGGTTTTTCCTATTACTAGCAGCAATTTCAAAAATATGGAAGCTCAAACTATTGTTTTCATCACAATATATCTATCTACATAAAGCAATCCAATAATCAGAAGCCAAGAACAAATCAAGGCTTCTGTTTTGGTTTGTTATGACAATGATAAGCTGAAGTACTCTACTTGGTTCAGATATCAAAATAAAAAAACATGGAAGGAAATACAATGGTTATTTAGTCACCTCCATTGTCAGGAAGAGCCATACGCTCTAGGACTTGACTAACTCTGGATGTGTGTGTGTAAGTGAAAATAAAAATAAAGAACTATCTACAAAATAGTAGATTTTGCCCTTCTCTTGCCCTAAATATTGCACAGTCTATATTTAAATATAGCATTTGGGATTTAAAAAAAAAATCAGTTTAGCAGATTTGTACTGTAGTATCTCCTGTATATAAGAACCATTTATAATAAAACTGCAACAGATGGACAGAAATAGGCTAATCGGCCTTAGTCTGGTGATTTTCAAAATCAGAAAAAGGTAGGCTAATGTATTGTGACAGGAAGTTTAAGTCTCTTTACAAAAAACATTTAACATCTTATATTGTGAACTTTCTTCCACCTTAAATCTTTGTCTGGTTTTATTATATTATGTTTTAAAACATGTGATTTTCCTCCTCATCCTCTTATTTCTTTCTCTGACTTTTGGTGAATGAAGCTGCTAAGAAAATTTAAGTCAAATAATGTCAGGTTGCAAATGCAAGAGTAACCCCTTTACCTGGTTTTTCTCACTAGCATATCTTTTCAAATGTTTAACAAATTCTTTCCGGGAAGTATTCCTTACAGTTATAAGAGCTATGTTTCCATCATCCAATCTAGAAATGACAACAGTTAAATTAAGCATGAGTTAAATAATGTAATTAACCATGAATTAATCAGAAGATGATACAGTATAATCAGGAATCTACCTTAATAACCCAAGTATTTCATCTCTTTTAAAAGTAAAATAATATTCAATGGATGACATTGTCAAATTAATGTACGCAGAAAGTAACTGCATAGAATATGCATATGACAATATTTGTAGACGTAGCTTTTCTCTGCACAATTAGCATACTGGAACAATAGCCAGTGACTGATAAGAATTAAGATGCAATTAGAACTGTGCCTTGTTTTAGTTTATTTTAACTTTGTAGAGCCAGTAAGATCCCCCCCCCCCATTTGTTCAATTGTGTCCAATTCTCAGAGACTGCCTTGCAGTTTCTAGGCAAGATTTTTCAGAATTGGTTTAACATTGGCTCTTTCCTAGAGCTGAGAGGAGTGGATGGCCCAAATTCACCCAACTAGCTTTGTGCCCAAGATGGGACTAAAACTCATAGTTGCCTTGTTTCTAGTCTGATGCCTTAACTACTACACCAAAGTAGTTCAATGTAAGAATAGTTGTTTTTATTGTTAAAAAGAAATATAGTATAATTTCACATTAGTTGTATTTTATTTCCCATTCATTTTTTAATTCTGAAAAAAATATGAAAATTTATTTTACAAGAAAATAATTAAAAACCAGCCAAAACGTTTGATAAATTTTCAAAAACATCCAGGCAGTTACAAATTACGAGTGACAGTATCTGTGTGTATACATAAACACATACACACACATACATACACATATCCCTAGAATTCAACATTTGAAATGTATTTTATAAATATGTACACATGAATAATGCACATACCATCTGTCAAAAGTAAGAATCATAATGAAATGTGTGAAACTGATTTATTCAGAAGGAACTATAAGTGATGGAAAATTTTGATATTACACATTTTATCAAAATTTGAGCGGTCTTTGATGTCACAAGTTGTCTGCCAGGACTGAACTGAACCCATTCTTTCAGATTTTGCAGACAAAAAAATGCCAGTGAGTGTACAGAATGCATGGAATATTTATTATAATTACCAGTAGTAATATTATTTGTATATTTTAATCAGGAAATCAAAAAAGATGTGAGGCGTTGCGGATAACTATAAGTGTATATTTTCCCCAAACTGAGAGATGGTAGCATATAAATTTAATAAATAAATTAAATAAATATAAATATTTTATTACACAATTAATTAAAATAAATTTATTCCCTCACCTATTTTTACAATCTTTTTCTGTAACCTCAATTTCCTTTTTAGAGTTTTCCTCATCCATAACATTCAAAAGCTGGTGCAGCTTTTAGCCTACCCAAAGTTATGCAACTCTAAATTAAGGTCTTACAACTCCAAAGTGGAAACATCAAAAGGCCTCTAACTTTATTTCATTTTTTGAAGGTTTTGATTAGTTTTCATGATTCTGAGCCTTCTTTCTTATCACTGTGACATTTGGAATTGCTAAAAGTTATACTTAGGGAAGCAGAGAAGGCCACAGATTCTCCCTGCCTGTTGATATATTGGTGAATAATAGAATTAAGAAGAGTCACAGGAATCTACTGGTAGCAGCTGAACTAAGTATGTTTGGCAAATGTCAAAGATCTCCTAAAACTAACAAGGTTGAAATTAAATTCTGATCTTTCATTGTCAGTTTGTTTTGCTTTTTCTTATGCATGCAGGTTTTCCCTTTAGCACTTATATTTAGCTTTCACAATAACTGAATTTAATCAGTGAAAACCAAAGGTCTAGATTTCCCCATTAACAAAGCCCAAAGGAGATTACTACTTGTGACTACCACTTAAGTCAGACTTCTAAGATAATTTAATCACCATAATTATCCAATGATTATTCTAGATGGATGACCGCATCTGCATGAACAAAAACTGATTACAATTCCCAAAGATGCAGAGTCAACCAGTTTAATTTTTTTCATCGTGCTCTCCCAACCCTGAGGTTCTAGATTGCGTGCTATCTGAGAAAGCCAAACTTTTACAAGAAGATGTTAAGGAATTGGTTTAATTCCACAAATCCTTACTGACCTGGTATTAGGTGCCAAACCTCTTGGTGCCACTGAACAGAGACAAGGGATTGCCATAATGCTCACATTCAGGAAGTGACCCTGGATTCTCTGCCACTCATCTGTGCTGTCTAAATATAACATACCGTATTAGCTTCAAGTAATCCTAATTATGTTCTATGAGTGATTAAACTTGCAGACTTACCTGTTTTAAGTCTCCCTTTCTTCCTTCTAAAAATAATAATAAATTAAAAATCACTGAAGGATGACAAAATAAATAAATAAATAACACACAGCTTGCTTATCATGTTGTGAAAACAAACATCTAACACTGAATAAAAGAGAACAAAAATGTATTTATGAAAGAAAAGCTTTAAATCCTGTATTAATCACATAATTTGAGTATACATTTCATTGTTGAAGTAAACATGATTATTTTTTATTAATATTTTAAGCCAAAATATACTAATGGTAAATTACTTACAGCATAGCAAAATCTAAATGAAACATAACTCCTTAATATTGTCTTCAAGTATATTACATTAGCCCTTTTAGGAAAACATTGAATGCAGAATGCAATCTAACAAACATTAGCAACCTTTAAATCACGGGTGTCAAACTCACGACATCACGTGACGTGTCGCGACATATCGCGACTTTTTTCCCATTGTCAGCAATGGGGTGGGCGCGGTTTTGGTGTGATGCATCCGACCTGTAGGCTGGCAGTTTGACACCCCTGCTTTAAATAATATGAACCCTTCATAGTTAAATTAACCAGAATTAATATTATGGACAAAATGAAGTTTTGCATTCATCAACCTCTGAGTAGTTTACTTACCTATCATCTTCTTGTCCATTTTGCTGTAAATGCTTCAATGGAAGGAATGATATTTCACAATCTTCTGGTCTACAGACAGAACAAGATTTAATTCCATACGAAGAAATATACAAAATGTATGTCAAGGTTTGAATATTGAACAGTACTGTATATTAGAATTTATACTAGAATAACTGCAGGAACAGAAAGTATGAATCCTGTATGAATATAGTATTAGAAGACAGACTAAATCCTCAACAGAATGAATGGAAAATGAATGTAAGGTAAGAAGATCTTGAAGCTGCATGGAGTAGGCTAAATTATGTCCTACTGAACGGAAATGTGAAAAAGAAGGCTTGATAGAATA